GCTTTAGCGCCAGTTGAGCCGCAAATCCAAGCCCCCGGCGCACCCACACCCACACTCCCACTGTCACAGTCACATAGTCAGTCGACAATCATTAAGAGGAGCAGTGACAATTTGAGTTGCATTTCCATTAGTCGGGCTGTGTCAATGGCTTGGCAAATGGACAAGTTAATCGAGGCATGTGTTCTGTTCCATTCGCCTATATGCGCTCCGACAGCTACCAGCTGAGCCCCGCGGAATCCAGTTCAGTTCTATATGCATATATATAGTCGGCTGTATGGCAGAGCGACTTATATAGGCCACGACCTTCAAATGCAACCCCATAAAAAATTTCGATCGGGCATCGGGGTTTCGGGGTGGAATTAGTGCAACCCCATGTCCAGGATTTCGGTTGCTAGGCGCTATTTTTGAGTCGCGTATGCAGCTGCATCTTATAGGGTTCTTTTCTTGTTTGCGCAGGTTCTAAAATTATGCAATCCACTCATCGAGTTAGCATTCGTTTAAGGATAAATATATCACATAACAGCGTTTTTTATTGGCAGATTTCAAAGGCCTATGAAAAAGACAAAACAGATTTCGAATTTAAAGAACCAAGAGAACCACCCCATTCATTCAATTTATGTTGCCAAGCAATTTTTCAAAAATTATGTTTCTCCCAAAAAATATGATATATCACAAGATCAGCATTTATGGTTTAACTAAGTAAATTTAAAATTCCTGGTCATAAAATTCGGATAAATTAAGAAAAATTGATTCCGTAATTTCAAAAAATTGTACATTTTTTTATGGTTGAACCACTTTAATGTCTCTTATGTGTTACGGAATTTAATTATTTTCGAGTGCTACGGCCTTTAAATGCAAACAAATTTGTTATTGTTTACTTTCACTCTGCTATGCACTTTCAAGAGCACTTATTATGGTTTCCCCCTTTAAATTATTCAAATAGATTTCAAAAGGCACTAGACAAAACAATTTTTATTTGAGAAACGTAATAAAAAAATTAAGAATAATTTATATAAGCTCTACAAGTTAAAAACAATGCCAAATTTAAGGATTTTGAAGAAAACAAAAAATCAAATGAATTGTAAATATTGAATAAATACCATTAGCTATTCAATATTGGGATTACACTAATACTTAAAAAAATCGGTAATTCAACTGTTTGGTATTTAAATATGTACCTAAAAATTAGAATTTAAAAACTAAAAGTTATTTCAACAAGCACTTTCAATTTTAGTTTTAAAAACTGAGATTCTTTTGGAAAAAATACAGGCGGGTTTTATAGAGCAAAGTTAGGTGCCAGGGCTATGTGAACAAATAAACCGATATGCGAATGCTCCCCACCAAATGACAACTGACCGCAGTCCAAGCTGGCTGATTCTATTACAGCCTCTTCAAGATTGTCGTCATAGAATTTTAAAAGGACGGACGGCTGCACCGATGAATTATTACCCTATTTAGTGGACAAGTATATGGAGATGAACGAGAGCACTTGCCAAAGATAGACGAGACCGGACCCGGAAAACTGGTAATGGCTCTCAAGTTCAAGTGCATGGCAATCACTTACAGAGATGCTGGATGAAGGGGTTTCAGTGCGTTTATCGGTAGGAAAACCACGGAAAAGCGGTTTGATAAAGCAACTGACCCGCATGAATCACGTTCTCAGATATTTATTTAAAAAAATGATAAAGTGGTGGCAATCGAAGAGAGAGAATTTTAAGAATTTGTTAAAAGCTTTCATAATTAAATTGACTTTGGGTGGGGACGGTGAGGTTTATTAAATTACTGCAGGGGAGCATAGACAAAAGAAACCACGTTCGCACACAGGGAGATAAACAAAGGCAACACAGCTGGCCGAAAAACCGCAGGCACTCTGCCTACAGAAATTCAAAAAATACATTTTATCGCTTTGCAAACTCACCGAAACACAAAAAATTAATATCCAACTGGCAGGTAATTAATACATTTTTTGTTCTGTGAGTACCGATTTCTCTGAAACTTAAGCACTTTTCACTGGAACACACACTATGGCTTTTTCGGTGAATATTTACCCGCGGCAGCGAAAATCGAAATCGGAAAACGAAAACGAAAACAAAGCTCACTTACGACTGGGCATACAAGTAATTATTGTATTATCAGCGCTGGGACGGAACCCATGAACTGCAAGTACTTGAGATTCGGGTGAATTCCTAAACGAGCCGCAAGACCCACTTGAAATTCCCCAAAAGTACTCTCGCACCGTCACAACAAATTGGTTTATACAGAAGGGCACTTCATAGGCTTTCACACACTAAAAACGACTATTGCATTTGCATTTTCATCGATGTTCCGCTTTCTCGCACTGCAAAACGCTTTTTCGAGCTAATTAATTGTGTTCCAGTAGGATGAACAGAGCCGCCTAGGATGGGGTTTCCTAGGTGGGGCCGAGCTCGAGAACTGTGCCTTTGTATCTCTGGGATACGGATACGTTGTTTTATTATATACGCTTTGTATCTTGCACACTCGGGCACTTGCCTAAAGGGGCCTGTTTCGAAAATAAATATCCAGCACCGAAAATAAACGATTGTTTACTTCGTCGAATCGATGGATGTTTCTTGGGGGTTTCAAAACGTGGCAGCAGATCCGACTCCCGGTTCCGATGAGCAGCTATAGCTATCCCAAACGCACGTGCAGAGAGTCGACGACTGACTGAGGCAAACTCGGGCCGCGATCGCCACAAAATATCCAAAGCGGCGGCGAACGAACCTAACGAATTCGCCCGCCGCCGAATGCGGCGAACAAACAAATGCTGAGGCACCAAACGACAGCATAACGAGCTATATGGTATATAGTATAGTACGATCGAGTGAACTCGAGAGTTCCCAAACCCAAACATGCGGCATAAAAATTCCATTTCATACACGCGCAGCCGGGGAGTTGAGTGAGTTTGGTATGGTATCTGTGAGATATCTGGAGTTATTTCCGCGGTGGTGGCTTTTGCACCCTTATAAGCGGTGACACAATAGATCCGTTAGGGAAATACAATCCTATGTGGATGTATTTTGAATGAGTTGGAAGATGACTCAGGTAACTGCAACCAGAACTTTTGTAAATGAGTCGTTTGTATGCCTTTAGATACGCTGCAACCGATGAAAATTCAAGTTAATCACCTTTGCAATAAATAAACACTGCACTCTTTCTGGCTTGCTTTTAAAAATCTAACAATTTTGAACTGTTATAAAATATTAAAGGTACTAACGTTTTTTCTTACCTTAAGAAATTTGCGAAACATTAAACTGCCATACATCACCTCAAAAACTCAACTTCCAGAGGGGAACAGCAGCTTAAGAAAGACTCAAAAAGTAATTTTTCAAACCTGACAGTTGTTTTTTCACCACGACTTATTACAAATATTTACCAGCTGTTGGCAAATACAAGAGTCAGATACCGTACTATGACTTTTTGCACCTTCGCTTGAAAAGGGCAAATATTTTGCCAAGGAGCTGGATGACGATTGGGGAATCCCAAGAGGAGGGTGGCTATCAAAACCGGTTTCTTTGTCAAGTGCATGCTATGCAAATATTTGGTCATGGTGATCGCCAACGGAGGCCAATAGGTTTTTATTAACTGGCTGGCACAGTCATATCGAGGGCCTCCAATAAATGGGAGCTCGCTATCTGGCATTTTGAATGTTTTTATCAAAGATAAGGGGCGACTCCGGATACCGGCGTGCATATACAAATATCTGGGAATTTGGCCTACAACCAAATGTAACTCCCTGAGACCTTGGCGCCTTATCAAACAAAAACATTGCCCCACTTTATTGATTTTATTGTGCAAAGAAAACAGAATTCGAGCATATAGATATTTGGTTAAAATTTAGTTGTTTATGTGCATTTTAGTGCTCTTGAGAAAGTTTTGTATAGAACTTTAAAGAGTTTTTAAGAAACAGAAGGACACAATCACGACACAATTATTCTTTTTCAAGAAATCATTGATAGCAATGCAATTAGCTTTGAAATTTAATTATATGCAGCACTTTTTATATCAGTTTCCATTCTCAAGTGGCAATCAAGCTTGAACTGCCTATTAATAGACCATTCGATCGAAATTTAATTTCAGTTGACTTAACAGATTAGCGTTGGTTGAATTTATGGGGCCTTCGCAAATATTTACCGACGGCGCTAACACCCCGCAGTTATCAAACAATTAGCGTCCATTTAAAGCCAATTATCACATAAACAATCATAGGCTCACGCCTCGCGGTGTTGGGTTCTTCATTTCGATGGGTGTAAATCATGCGAAAGTTGAATTATGTGGCCCAATGTTGCGCATACGCCATGTGTCAAGCGAAAGCCCCGTGACAAGTCAGTTGCCAATCGAGGGTGGGTGACGCTAGGCCCAAGACATATACGAAAGTAACAAAAACCAACATGCACGAGTACTTAGATCAAATGATTTAATTAGCACTGGCCCCTCAATTGTGTTCATTTTAATTACATATATTTTATCAGCCGTCAAAGCTTACGACTGCGATAGTCGCAAGGAGGAGGAGGAGGCGAGTTGTCGTGGCCCATGTGTCAATAAGTCAAATGATGTTAATTAATTGAGGTCGATAGCGAAATGCTCTGCAGTCGACAGCCTGCCAAAGGCAGTTTACTGTTGCCCAACGCAATTAGCCCAAACGCACTGTTACACAACCAAGGAATCCTCTAAACGAGATACACCCGCAAAACTAATTATTCGCCTCGTCTATTCGGGGCCACTCTCGCCAAAGTGCAGTGCAATAATGACAAACGAGCTGCCTATCAGATCTGTGGGAGTTCCCAGTATTTACCTATTCAACCAACTCTAACTATTTTGAAAGTAAACCAAATATAAAAGAGATATCTTTAAAAGGCAACTCAAAATATTATGAATTATTTACGCAGCAGAAATCAATTCCTATACTCCCCTGTTGCAAGGTAGCACTCTAAAATGTCAGCTTTAAAAATAGAATATTGTCACATTAAAAAGACTTTGGATTCCAAAATTAAAAGGCTTTATCGCAGTTTCACCACAGCCCCTGAAGAGCTACTATCGAAAATTAGTCTTTAGATAATCAAAACAGTTTGGCTTTTTGCAGCGACGTCGAGTTGTTAAAGTGGTGCTGAGCTATCCGATAGGCAATGCTCCCAGGACGCACCATCTTTTGCTGCAATGCATCGCCGTACAGCTTCACCAGCGAAGGCTCCTCCTCCACGGGCTCCAAATAGGCAGACAGGCCGCCCATCAACTGAAGATAGATAACTAGTTTATAACAATTTCAAGTTAAATACTTTTAGAAGTACTTACCAAATTTTCATCGCAGTTTATGAACCGCACCGCCTGCACATGCTCGGACCAAAGACGCCGTCGCCACTTGTTATCATATTTTTGGGCCAATGGCAACAGCACCAGGGAACTGAACAGCTCATCGCCATAGCTGGCCGCCTCGAAGTGTTCGACGAACAGATAGTAAAGCGGCTCGAAGCGACCCTTATCGGCCAACTCCGCATCAAAGTCAAAGTCATGGGTGCCATTCTGCTTGTAGAAATCCATCAGGCAATCGTGCAGCAGCTCATGCAAATCCGGTGCCAGGAACTGGGAGTCTGGGCCCATGAAAGCAATCATCAGATACATGAGCTTCTCCAGCGGGCTAACAATCTGCAGGCCCTCTCGTTCCAGCTGCCGTACGAAAGTCAATGTCATGCGGACCACCTGGTTTTCTTTTCACGCAAAATACACATACGGTTTATCCCCAAGAAAAGCAAAGTACAAAGTGTGCGATCTCACCCGAGTATATGGCCGCAGGGCGCTGCTGCACATTTTGCAAGTAATTGTTGAGGATAAGGCGCAGCTGGAAGAAGGGCCAGTCGGCGGGCAGGATGGGCGCTTGGGTGTAGCTCAGGGATAGCGACGGCTCAGAGTTGTCCTGGAGGAAAGGTAAAAAATCAATAAATATATCCATAAATCCTTAAACATAATCTTAAAAAATTGAACAAAAATATAGCTGCCACATTTTAAATTAGTTAAAGTCCAAACTCTATTAATTAACTTGGGTTTTTTTAAAGCTCTGGTAAATTCATTAAATTAATTAAGTAATATGTATATCAAATAATATATAATATCCAGAAATCACATTATGATAAATAGTAACAAATAAATAAATAATTTGCAGTGAAAGTAAAAAATTATGTTTTTCCTTGTTAAAACTTAACTCAATACTTACAGCTATTATGTGTGGGTAAACCATTTTTAGACAGGATTGTTAATGTACTTAAAGTTGAGACTTTATAAATACAAACAAAAATATAGCTGCCACATTGTTGCCTTTAATGTTAATGTTTAAAGTTAGGACTCTATAAATTAGCTAGAAGTTTTTAAGCTCTATTTAATTTAATGAATTAATATGTATATCAAATTACTATTTTAATAAATAGTAATAAATAAATAAATAATTTGCAGTGAAAATGAAACTAAGTTTTCCCTTGTTAAAATGCAAATCAATACTTACAGCAATTATGTGTGGATAGACCATTTCCAGGCAGGATTGTTGCAGCAGCTTTAGGCTTGCCTCGTCCAATTTCACAAACTCCGCATTGAAGATAAACCGCTCGAAGGTGCTCTTGATCTGTGTGGCATGTGCGGTGGACAGGCAGCAGAGGTAGTTGTAGACCAACTGCAGCAGCTGCTGGCGCTCCAGGTACGTCTCCATTCCGTCCGTCGTGAGCAGCTGATGGATGAACCTCAGCTCGCTGCGGGCAAAGAAGTTGGTGGCCAGGACGCGATTGAGTTGGGAGCCCAGCTGGCGCAGATACTCGGCCAGGGGTTCAAGCACCGCCGGTTGCATAAGCGCCGCGAACAATGGCTTCTCGCCGCTCTCCAGCGAAACGGCGAGCAGGGCCCAGAGGTTACTCAACAGAGGCACCGGATACGTCTCACTGACAATCAGCTGCGGCCCGTAGTCGTGCATCAGCACTGCGCCCACATTAGGCAACGCCGCGTGCACATGGCGGCGATCAATAGGGCGTCTCAGCATGACGGAGCTCTTGCTGGGAGACAGGCGTTAGGTGTGATTTAATAGATAACTTGCAAGCTCAACTTACGCTAGGTCATGTACGGTGGCTATAAAGCCGCTGGACTGCACAAATTTCGGTAGGATGCTGCGCAGGAAGGTCTGGAAACTGGTGGTTCCCAAGTAGCTATTTTGGGAGAACCAGCAAACGGCATAGAGGACGGCACTCAACAGCGTCATCTGACTGAACTGGGAATACAAATAGAGTTTGGTTGAGGATTCTCATAACATTTTACTCGAACCTACATCTTTAATCTTCTCAACGCGGGAAGCGGAATGCAGCCAGGCGCAGCAGCAGTTGTTGAGCGGCTCCACGAGCAGCTTCTGTCCCTCGATGTCGCATGCTCCGCTCTCGCCACTGGCCACCAGTGCGACCAACAGGGCGGCTGCGTGTTGTCGCACCAGCCCCGATCCGCCCACGCCATCGAAAACACAGTGATTGCCATGCCAGTCCAGCAGCTGGCGCAGTGCGGGCAGGAACTGCCTGTAAATGATAGACAACCATAGTTATTATCCGCAGTCGGTTGGCTATAAAAATGGGCTCCAGTTTAAACGAAGCTCAGTTGTATTTAAGCCATCTCGAAGGGGGATTGAAAGTCACTTGTATTATGGCGTCCTGGCATTTTGGGCTTCTGCTGGCTCTAGTCATAATAAATGATTTAATTCCTGCAAATCAAGGAGTACGTATTTGCTAGAGCAGCTTTAAAAGCGTACTTAATGTTTTTTGAAATAGCTGGATATTCCGCCAATGATTATAAAACAAGTGAAGAAACTGCGAATGCGATGCTTAAATCAGACAGGAGCTTCTGTAGGTAAGTGAAGTTTTTAAGAACCTGAATAAGACTAAGTACATCATTCTATCACAAAAGAAATCATGGACCAGTCTATAAGGGACAAGGTGTTACCCAGAGATCCAGAAATTAAATGCTTTCTGCACTGCATGTTTGACATGTTCGGATTGGTATGTATCCTCTGCTTTAAAACATGGGTTAAATAGCTTATACTTTAATTACTTGACCCTAGATTGACTCACAGAACGTTATGCATTTGGAATCACTCTTGGAAGTTTTACCAGAGGAAATACACCAAACAATTATTGGATTAGTTGGTGCTTGTGGCACAAAGAGTACGTAAACTGTTTGATAATATCTCAAATAATTCATAGTTATCTAAAACTCTTGACAGAGGGAAAAGATGGATGTGAGACCGCTTACGAAACCGTCAAGTGCTACATCGATGTAAACGGTAAATTTATATTTGACGAGATAATAGTGCTCCTTGGGTAGCGCACACCCACCTGAATATATCCCGATCCACGATTCCCAGAAGCAGTAGGCAGCGCAGAATGCGCAGTGCCTCGATCTGAACGCGCACCATCTGGACCTGTCGAAGAGTTAACCATGAATTTAAATACTTCCACAAATAAATACGGAAACAAACCTTATTGTCTTGAAGGAACAAGTATTGCTGAAGTCGCACAATTAGGACCCCTTTAGAAAGACTCTTGGCAATATCCAGATGTTGGCAAATCAACACACGAATTAGTTTTAGAAAAAGAATTTGCGGCTGACCATAAAACTGCTGGTTACCACTAGAAGAGGGTAAAAAGTAGATGAAGAGTTTTTCCATTAGGTGACTTTCATTCGCCAACTGCCGAGCGACTTTTATGCTTGTGCGAGCGATCCTTATAAGTAATTTTAGGCAGGACTCCACTGTGCTATTATCTGGTTTCACGGAGTCCAAGACAAACCTATAAAAATAAGGTTGTTAGCTGGGTAAAATTATAAAAAAAAATGTAATTTGCTAACCGAATCCTTTGCAATATATTTGTTCTAAGCAGGCAGTCCATGAGATCTGTTTCAGCCAATTGAAAGTCGTCCATGGACATTCGACTCTGCGTCTCATCTTCATTAACTTCCGCGCGCACAGATTGGCTGGTGGTCAGCAGCTTCATGTAGCGTTGTAGAAAAGCTATGGAATTGGTATCTGTATCTCCCTCTTTGTCGTCACTGCCATTCCCCAAAACCTGCAGGGTAGGCTGCCAATGACAGTAGGCATTATCTTGGATATGATCAAGAAGGACTTCGTCCGTTTCATTGTAGAACAGGTTGGCCAGAGCTCGACTCACAACCTCCAGCTGAGCGGGCGCATTGTCGTCGAGTCCGAAGCGCAGTAGAAAGAATATTTTTGATATTGGTAGGGACAAGACTTGATCATAGAATCCCTGGTTATAGATGCTGAAGATCCCCGCAATGGCCCCAAAGGCAGAGAGTCTTTGCTGTAAGACAGTGGACCTGGAAAATAGCAGTCTGAAAATTAGTAACCACTTTTGTGTAGATTATTTCAATCGCACCTGGCCAATCGAAAAAGCTCTTGCAGTGCATAACCAGGACGATCTGCCTCTTCGCCATGCAAATAAAGTTCTCGCTCATCCAGTTGAGTGGAAGAATCCTGTTCTTTGAGCGAGTGGGGCAAAAGCACTCCTTTCCAGTCGAAGCGTGCATTGAACTGCTCTCCTGGCTTAAGTTCGCTTATCTTGGCGGGGATATCTCGCATCCAGGCTAATTTATGATCCTCCACGAGGTTGAAATTGACCCAATTTCCCTTATCGCTCTGCTGCAAGAGCTCAAGAGCTGGATTTGAATCGGGTAAGGAAGAAATTTGTGGATCTTGGGATTTTAAGGACGTCGTTGGCTGCGGTGGTGCCTCAATTATCTTGGGGGATGTCTTCTTTTCCTTAGAATTAAGACTGGTTTGACGTTTCTTGGACAGCAAAGCAATCAACGAGGGATCTGTAAAGCAATATCCATTTTTTTAAAGAAATGTAGAAAGATAAATAGGTATTTATTTACCCAAAGAAGCCAGCAACCTTTCTTTCTCTGCCAAAATGTCCTGTTCGCTCATTTTGTGGAGGACATTTAGGTTTTCTTGATGCAGTTCCTTGCCAAGTTTGGCATCCTTTATTATGGAACTCCTTTCATTTCTAGGTGAATCAGACTGGTTTTTTAAGATTTCTGGATTGGGAGAACTTTCTTTCAACATTTGTTTGGCGAAAATGCTAAGGGGCTTGCTGCTGTTGGCCTGAAATAAAAGGGGATCATTAAACAAAATATAGATAACGTGTTTGAGCATTAAATAAATTAACCTTTTTGTTACTCTGGAGGGCAGGTCTTCTGGTTCCACCAGATCTTTCCACCAGTTCACCCAGCACATTTCCCAGGGAACTGGGATTCATTCTACTGCCCTTCACATCGCCCAGAATGTTTTCCTGGATTTCATCAAGCAAAATTTGATTGACATGTGGTGGCTCACTTTCTTTTGAGACACTTGTTGGAATCTCTGGGATTTCTTTGGCTGCCGGTAAAATCTGTTCCTGTTTCTCTCCTACCGCAGTGGTAACACGTCCCAATTTAGCCTGCTCGCGTTTTTTGGGCAAACATCGATTTCTTTGGAGCTATAAAATGTATTAAACAATAGTTAATACACATTTTGTAGAAAAGTGCTATTTTTAACCTACCTTTATCCATTCGCACAAAGGCCGCTGCAGGCTGGAAATTTGGATCCTTGGCCTTCTCCGCATTGAACTCAGCCGCCATTCGCAGGACATCCTCCTCACTTTCGCCTGGCTTCAGTTTTTTAAACATTTCGACCGGAAAAACAATCAAAAAATATTTCAAAACAAATGGACAGTGTGACCGTTTATTAGCTGTTGAAATATACCATGAATGCGTGCTAACAGCCACCTTAACAGAGCCGCGATAACAGACTCTGTTGTTTTTAGTACTTTAAAATTTAGAACATTTTGATTTTGAAAGTTTACGGTTACATTTGAATTTAACAATTAAAAAGGATAAACGTTTGTGGCTTTAAGGCTTGTTAAAATGTAAAAACAAGTCACTACTTTCATGATTTTTTTATTTTCTAACATTTTGTTCCTCCACCCATTTAATTAGATCAGTAAACTCAATTTTATTGTGTATTCAAGTAGAAAAAACGATTTAATAATACATGCATAAGCCAGTGACTAGTTTGTTGGTTTATTTTCCCTCCTTTTTAAAGGTGGTGCCAGTGTCGGACAAACATTTTGTCAGCGATTGCTGGGCCACTATAGTATCCTTGTGGGGCAGAGCAGCCACGTGGAAGAACATCTCAAGGCCCTCCCTAAAAAGTTCAATGGCTTCTCCGGTCTTCTGGGCCTCCATGGCGCGAGCGGCCTCCCGATAAAGTTCCTCGATCTTGATCAATTTGGCGACACTCTCCTTGAGCGAGATGTTCTTGCGGCAACGAGGACAACGTACATCCTTCGCCAAGTCCTTGGGGAACTTGAGCAGATTAACGCAGTTTGCCGAAGTGCACCTTTAAGTATGTAAAATATTTCTAATAAAATATCCCAATCTATTAGGGATTCAATACCTACCAGAAACGCACTTGCTTGTCCAGTTTCTGGAGCAGGGGCCAGTTCTCCTGGCAGGCCATGCAATTGCAGTTGAAGGAGTAGCGTCCCCGCAGGGATCTCTGCCGCTCCTTGAGGTTATTCTTGATGAAAATGGGTCCGTAGTTGACCGCCACCACTTCGTTGGGACGATGTGGCTTGGTGGCCGTAAGGACCAGTTTCTTGCCGACAAAGTAACCAGCAGTGCTAAAAGTATAATAAAATGCAAGAAATTATTAAAAACTTTGATTACACCAGTTTACAAAAAAAAATCGATGAAATACGCACTTAAGGAAACCATTGTTTTTCGGTAAGATACATCTTTCTGGTTAAGAAAAGGGCACTTGCAATTTTTTGTATGATACCAATTTTTTTAAAGTGTAAAAACGCTTTTGACACTGGTTTTATTTCTAACTCGATTTTTGATAAACCGATTTGCCCTTTAACTTTTTTCTACACATCATTGAAATCAATTTATTAGTTTAGAAGCTACACTTCGTCAAAATTGAAAAAGTTGGAAAAAATGCAAAAATGCTGGCATAAATGGCTTCGTTAAAAATACACTCCCAAAAACCAATTATTTAACCATATCTTAAAAATAATAATTTTTACGTTTTAAAAACTTTTTTTAAGTTCATAACAGGCTAAAAAACTTTTGATTTTTTTTATACAAAGGCAAATACTTTTAAAAGAACATAAAATAGCACTTGAAATGTTCCTTATCCAAAATTAAAACCCACCTGGGCCAGCACTCGTGATTGAAGTAGGAACCGGTGCCATACAGACCAGCGCCAATATAGACCGTCTTGCTGCCGTCGAATCGATGCTCCTCGGTCACTTGCGTTTGGTAGATCTGGTGGGCATTGTACTGGAGCACCTGCAGCAGACCCAGCAGAGCGGTGGCCACCTGAAGTTCCACGGCCGTGGGATTCACGCCCTCCGTCTTGCGGCGACCGAAGTAGAGGGACTTCTGGAGGATGCGCATCAGGAAGGCGGCCATCAGGGATCGTTGCAGGTAGTCCTCCGGCTGGCGCACGTCCTCGTGGGAGCACATGTGTTCGAAGAGCAGATTGGCGGTGGCCAGACCCTGCTCCAAGTTGGCCGCCTGCGTGAAGACGCGCAGTGCGATGAAGCACAGGATGGACATTCCGGAACCGATCAGCAGGTCCATGTACTCGCACTCAAAGCGATGGTAACTGGAGCAGGCCTCACCCATGCACTGGGCGGAGCAGAAGGCGATTCCCGAGCAGTGGAGACAGGAGACCGGGGTGTGCAGCCTGCAATATAGGGATTTTTTGAATAGATATTCTTTAAATCTTAAAAACCCTCACCTCTTGAAACAATTATGACAATGTGTGCCGAAATAAATGGGATCCAGACAGGCGGCAACTGGGTCCTCGCAGAGGAGGACATCGCCTGTTCGGAGCCCATCGTTGGCCACAACAAAACGACCCTTGTCCTTGGTCTCCACCAGCCGCACCACCTTGGAGGCACCGCTCAGTTCGGGATTCTCGCCATGAGCCAGTTGTGGTACCACCTCCGAGGAGGCTTCCTTGGGAATCGGTTTTACGGCGGCTATTTCCTTGCGACACAATGCGATGTGGGTGGGATCGGAGCCAGTCATCTTTTCGGCTATCTTTAAGGAGATCTCGGCACGGGCAGGTTCGCCCATAACTAGAAGATAACAAGTTTTTATAAGAAAAGGGATACGGAAACTAACTATAAAATAATAATAAAATTATACAAAGAAATTTATCAAAATGTTTTAGATGCAAAATATGGGGTAAAGCATTTTAAAAAGTAAAACGCTTCATAAAAATTTTATTTTACTTTGCATTTTTATTTTTAAAAACTTTGTTAGTATACACATTGTATAAATTCTTTGTTAACGGCTTTTAATATAATCGTTACGATACCTTCATAACACATTCTTAAAAGATTAATTTTCAAAAACATTAAAATTTATTGAACTTTTTTAGAGGTTTTCTATGAAGGTTACTATATCTTTTATATGAGATCTCTGAAAAAGTTTAATACATATCATTGGTTTAATTTTTATTTCATATATTATCTTTATAACATCTTCTTAAAGATTTATTTTCAAAAACATTAAAATTTATTTAACTTTTTTAGAGGTTTTCTATGAAGGTTACTATAGGTATCTTTTATATGAGATCTCTGAAAAAGTTTAATAAATATCATTGGTTTAATTTTTATTTCATATATTATCTAAAGTATTAAAAAGAAATGGCATGTTTTTATAAATCTTTAAGCCAAGAACAACATATATTCAATTAATCCTAACGTTTCTCCTACCTGCATAAGCCTTGGCCATCTTGCAGTAGTAATCCACGCTGGTCTTCAGCTCCAGGCCAAAGTTGATGGCCAACTTGAGGTCATTCAGGGCCGCCTCCCCCTCGCCCAGTCGGATGAGGATGGAGGCCCTCGACCGGTAGGCCAGTGCCAAGGTGAGGCCATCGTCGATGGAGGGATCTGCATTGCGGTCGGGAGCCCGCATCACGGCCAGATTGGCGGCCATGAGGGCCTGCTGCAGCACCTCTCGACTCTCCTCGCTCTCGCCACTGCCACTCATCAGATAGAACTTATCCGCCTGCGCTCGCCGTTGGGCGGAGAAGAGGGCATCCTTCTGCTTGAAGACCGGCTGGACATGTTCGAGGACTCCCAGCACAGGATCACACACCTCGCGATCACTGAAGATCGAGAGAACCCGGGCCGCATTGGACTTCAGCTTGCCAAAGTAGTTCCGCAGCCACTTGTCGCCACATGCATCCCGCACATCCACGCAGAACTCGTTGAAGAATCCCCTCTTCTCCGACTGAACCGTCTGCGTGGAGCAGATGTGGTGATATGTGGCGTCAAACTCCATGTTAGGGCTCCAAAATTATGTAAAATCTGATTCAGATTTTCGGTGCAACGGATGGGAAAATCGTATCGTCCGCGTTTTTCTGATCACCGCACTGCCGTTGAGTATTGAAAACAGCTGGCGGACGTTCGCCCTCCAAAAATAGCACCGATCGTTCAGTTCGCAGCATTATAAATACTCGGCACTGAGTTCTGAACTAGTACCGGTCGTCATCGGTGTTCACTTTCGATATGTTTTCAAGTTTTCATTTATTTGAGAATTTTAACCATAAATATTTACATGTTTTCTTTGAGTCAGTATATAGTTTTGATTTTTCAATTAACTTTATTCCACTTAAAATGCAAGCGATCAGTTATAATATTCATTTTATTTGTAACTGGAATCGGGCTTATAAATCACATTAAATAATTTATTTAAAAATTAGCTAAACGTACAAAAATATAACAATATGTATATCAGAGTATTCGTAGTTATATATTCGTAGTTAAATATGTTAAGTATATTTTCATTCGCCTGGAAAATGTTCAAGTTGAGTTTAAATATTCATTAATATTTAGTTTTTCTCATGGACTAGATAGACTTTGTCAACCATTTGTTTATCAGCTTGGAGAGAGCGTTAAATAAAGTAAAAGAGTATTTTATAAACATTGTTCTGACACTCAGTTATTTTGGGTGGCCATCTCATAAAATGAGTCATGGATAAACTTAAAATTATGTCCGACTAGATGTATCCTGTGGAATAAGAAACATAAGACTAATAAATTATAAACAGTTTTGGTGTTTAATTTTATTTTAATTCTTGTATTTATTTGCTCGAATAATGATTGCATGGTTTCAATGATCAAGATTATTTAAATAGGTCAAATGATTGAAATGTTTTATACTTCGATAGACTTCATTAAAATGCGGTGCTGTGGTAGAGCATATTTTGGGATAATGAAAAATCATATTTAGAGTCATTATTTTCACTAAAGACGTACAAAATTCAATTGGCTAATTAAGAGTAGGGTACAAATTATACATATACTTTTAAATTCAGAACCGTTACAATGTATATAAAATAGGATTGAACTTAAGATTGGTCGGTTTTGCGTTCGGGTTCAGATTCACATGATATATAAAATAAATTACATGGTGTGTGGGTTGTGGGGTTGTTGTGTTTGTTTTTTGTTTGTTAGCTTTAGTCACAATTAATCTCGTTGGCTTCAATTGCAATACGATCTAAGAGAAAGTGTTACTAAACTTAACAAATAAAATGCTACAAAATTTCAGCCTCGCCGCCGAACTTGTTCAAGACTGCGACACAGCTCCGAAGCTTACAAGTCGGTATTATAGTAGGTATATGTATATGTGTATATTATAAACTATTATCATCACATTGTAAACGTTAAGTGTTTCTCATTATTTTGTGTAATCCATTAATCTAAGCAAAAACGAGTACATCGTAGTTTTAATGTCTTTTGTGTTTAAGCTTAAAACGCTGCCGAATATCCGTCGATTAGCTTTCTGATTCCCTCACATCATCATCATCATTCAGCCTGCCTCGCTCACTCTGATTTACGCTATTTCGCTTTCGAAAGCAGTCAAATGGGACAACAAACTGAAAACCCGTGAAACTTTTCGAAGCCGGTTCCGTTTTTGGTATGTGTTTGTTTTTTTTTTTTATAGCAGTTTACCGAGGATGATTGCCCCGAAGTAGCCTACGTACAATTGTAAATAAATTAGCACTTAAGAGATAGAGTGGCCTAAACCTACATATAGGTCGCAGGATAGCCTAAGAAATGTGTGGGATTAGCTCACGTCTGCCACGCGCCAAAATGTAACATTTTCTCATTCGCATTTATAAATAAATTAGCCATAGTATCACTTATTTTGTATTTTAAGAAAATAACCAAACTAATTCAACTATAGAAACTTAGAAAGGATAACCCAGAACATGGAAGAGGCCTGCTGTTTTACACTTAAGGAAAGCAGAGAGCGAGTGGCGAGTGGCGCCGACCTAACCTATCGCTACTACTATACAAAATGGAGCACAGCGCATCCCCGGCCGCAGCCCGATCCGCCCTGCAGAGCGGGGCCGTTGCCGAGTTAACCTGATCGGAGCGAGATTGGGACAGACATCTCACGACATCTTGATGCCCAGGGCGCGACTCGTGTACTCGTAGACCACGTAGCTGATGGACACCGCCGGCAGGACCTTGAGGAAGTTGGGCGTGATGCCGCGGTACAGCCCCGTCAGACCCTCCTGCCGCACGATCTTGCGGAACAGGCCCGTCATCGTCTCCTCGCCGCTGTGCGCGTCGCTGCTCTTGAGGGGTATTTGCGTTTTCCGCTTTTGATTGGCAATTGTTTCGGCGGCTGCAAGAGAAAATTGGGGAAAATAATTATAGCATTTCGATAACAATTAAATAATAGCAGCATTTCTCACCTTGTGCCTGTAGCCGAGTGCGCACCAGGGCCAGCGGGTAGGAGCAGAGCTGTCCGAGTGTGCTCGACGTACTGCCGCAGGCCAGGAGCACCAGGAAGCTGGGCTGCTCGTTGTTATCGTGATTGGCAATGTATCGTCTCTTGAGTGTCTCGTAGACCGCCAAATCGATGCCGGCATAGGGCAGGATGCCCAGAATATTCGGCACATAGCCACGGTAGAAGCTGCGCACTCCCTCGTGCTTGTAGATCTTCACCGCCGCATCGGCAATGCCCGCGTACTGGCCCGTCTTCCTGAGCGCCAGGCGCGTCTTTAATACTTCCATGGGGTAGATGATGGTCTGTGAAATTCCGCCGGCCGCTGCGCCCGCGTAGAAACGCTCCACAATGCTCATCTGCCGGCTGGCATCGTCGCCGCGGATCAGTCGCTTCATCTGCTCGTAGGCGGCAAACTTGAAGGCCGTTTCGGGGGCAATCTTGAGCACATTAATGCCATTGCCTCGCCACATGCTCCGCGATCCGCCCTCGTTCAGCATGATGTGCATGCACTCTGAGATTCCCATTCTTTGCGTTTGTACCTGTTCGGGAGAAATTAATTGTTAATATTTGTGGGTAAACTTATGTTGTTAAGGAAGACGCACCTGCAAGTACACCTTAATCCTGTCCAGCGGCGCTGTGCATGTCCGGGAAACCGCTCCAGCTATGCCACCCGCCACCAAGTGTCGCCACCAGAGGCCCGTCTGCATCTCTTTCTGTGTGAAGTCATCAGGTACATTCATATCCTCGCCAATGTCGAGGTACTGCAAGGATCAAAAGGTAGTTGGTTAGAACTTTTGTATATTCTGGGTTTGTGGTTATAAATCTAAATATCTATACTAAATGGAATGATAGGTTATTAGAAGAAAGATATAAATGGGAATATAAAAGAGGCAATCCATAATTTACTAATTAATAAAACTAGACTAGATGGAATTCCATCCCAGCTGATAAAATCTTTTTGATAATACTACCAGAATTTCCTCGGAACGTCGACATTCCTGGATTTCATCCTCAAATTGAACAAGTTCCTTGAGAACCTCTAGCGCCATGATCTAATCAATTAACCACCGACTGTTCTCGCTTTTAAAAATATCCAGGTGCTGTCACTCTGGTGTGGTAATATTAAATAATATTGCAGGTAGCTAATGCAGAATGCAAAATGCAAAAGAGTGAACTATGCAATCCACACGCGCCACTGAAATCCCCATCGCCTGTGTGAGAATTGCGGAAGCGGGCGAAAAAAAGAACGATGCAAGAGCCGTAAACAAAAGTTATATCATTCACATTAGTTGTGCTACTCGTGCCTACAAACACAGATGCAACTATATATCGGGTTCGTGCCGCATCTATGTACTTTATTTTCTCGATTTCTGTCTTCTTCAGACGTGCCCCCCCCCGAAAATAATTATAATTGGCTCGCCTTTGACTGTCGCCAATTGGTTGTGCAATTTGGCAGATCTCTTTTAAAAAACTAACGCCAAGTGGGCCTGAAAAAGGCGAAATATTATTTGTCTCTATGAATTGCACAGCTTTTGGCTTTAAATCGAATTAATGCCGCTGATAGTCGGAAAGCTGTCTGAAATTGATAACAATTATCAAGTCTTGTGATGTCTAAAGCTTTCGGGCAAGCAAAAACCGAACTGAATCCGATTGATTCCCGCTGGCAGAGTTATAAAGAAAAGTGCCCACAAGTTCAGGGCGAACTCAAAAAAGGTTATTACACCCATTTCCCCCAGGGCCAAATGTCATTGAAGCCAATTTGGACAATAGGCAGGCGCATAATAACAGCACTAAAGTGATTTGTTTATCTATTTAGCCGAACAAGATATATCCAGTATATCCCGGTAAACACATCCGCTTTTGATGTGCCAAATCATTTTGCGTGCTTGTCACATTCACACGGTGACAATTTCCGAACAAATTCTTCTTCGCAGAATGTGAATTTAACCTTTGATAGCGACGGCAAAGGAGGGTTAAGTTCACTGAATGGGTTAAGTGTACTTAACAACTAAAACGACTTGAGTTTGCCCTCATAATTAGCGACTAGCAATCACATGGGGCCCATTCAGCGGATTGTGGGAATCAGTTTGTCAATTAACAAAATGGAATATTAATCCGACGGAAAAAAAGAGCGATGGCAATTTTACGGAATGTAAATTGGCCTCTGAGTGCAACGTCATTCTCAATGGAATTTATCATTTCCGAATTGTTATATATATTTTATATACATAAACAGCGAGTCACATGACTGCGAAAAAGAGCTTTTTTTATACACAATGATCTATTTATAAGGTAGCCGTGAATTTGGCGCACAAACGTGGAAATGGCCGTGAAAGGAGCGTAGACTTGGTTGTGAAGGAAACGGGTTAATAGACGATTAACTGGGTTTTTCACAGACCATAAATGAATGAATGATCTTTGATTACAAAGAGCCACTTACAAACTCCATGGACTAATACAAATTCAAGGCAACAAGATAGCAAGGCTATCGGAGTCAGATATCTGGGGTTTTTCAAGGCATATAGGTAGAGTAGAGTAGATCATCGACCGACCGATGAACTTGACTCATACCCGCAGAATTTGTTGCGGCGATCTTGACGCGGTTTAAATCCCCCGTCGACGTCAGCGGGTTTCAAAGTAAACACCAGTGTAATGTAAATATCAACACGTTTATAAAGAGAGAAAACTGTTGACGTCACGCCAATTGTGGGGGCTTGACCGAAATGTGGATAAGCAGGGGCCAAGGGAGGGGGTCATCATCATCACCATCGCATGGCGCTGACTCAGGCGCCCACTATGCGTATACTTGTTACACTCATTTGATGTTGAGGCACGTTAACACACATACGCCCTGTTGGCCAAGAGCAAAAAAACCGTGACGTTTGCAGGCGCCTGGCAACAAGTTGTAAAACAAAAAACATAAGGTATAAGTAGAAAAGAGAGAGAAAAATAGAGGGAGAGCAGCCACGCGAAGCGCAAATCTTAGGAGAACCATGTGTGTGTTTGTGAGCAAAGTATGTCGTCTTTGGCGATCGTTAAAGTTGAAGACTCGCCGCTGGGAGACTTCGGTGAGCGGGGGGAAGGACGGACCGGTTCCATATCAGCACGTCACCCGACGGAGCTCGTTTTAGCCCGCCGATCGATGGATCGTCTGTTGCTAGGCGACTTTTGCGTCCATGGGGCAACTTGAAAAGCGAATACCAAAACCGCGACGAAGCACCAAATGAAATATTGTGTAAGCACAAGTGCAGCGAACAATTGCAACAGCTGCGAAGTTGAACAGCGGAATGGAAATTAAATCGCTGCCATTTTGAAGGGTATTTTTAGATGCACGGCGAGAAAATATCAATAAAATGGGTCGCATCTGAGGGATAGTATAAGTGAAACCTATAAAAACCTATTAAATTTGGCCTTAAAATGTTTTTAAAATTTAAAATAATCATTTTATACAATTTAATATAAGGGTATTTTAAAATAAATAATTTTTAAAAACCTATTGAATTACTCCTTAAAATGTTTTTAAAATTCAATAAAATTTAAGAAATTTTTATAAATATTTTAAAGATCTATAAGTCTATCAATATTTTTCTCTGCCTTATAAGAGACTTCACTTCAAACAGAGACTGCCTCATGGAGATCCCCGTTGAACTTCCAGGAAAAACCGCAGACGATAAGATATACCCAACCCAGCAAATAGCTGGCCTGGAATGAGTCAGCTTCCGCTGCAGTTGGCCATATAAAGTATCGATTCTTAGAACTACAGCCTGAACGAACAGCAGGCTCATAAAGAGGGGCCTGTCATCAACCTACCCGTCCCATCATATCGCGAAATATGACCACGAAATCCTCCATCATATCGCCTGCGACTGCCATTTGCTGAATATTGTGGTAATCGACGGGCAGATTGTACTGATAGGTGCTATTCCGCAGCATTTTGTCGAGTTTGCACTGTTTCACTTCCGATTTCGAATCCGATCTCAAACTCCGTCTTCCGTTTCCGCCTATTTTAGCGCCGGAATGTGGCTTTCACTGTTCGAAAAAACAATTGCAAACTTTCACTCGCAGCCGTTACAAAATATTTGTGTGCAGCTCTCTTTGGCTTTTGGTTTTTTCTATATTATTCCTCTAGATAGATATAATATCTCGTTGATGCTGTGGCCTTTTAGAGCGGCCAGACTTTGCCCGATTCGCTTGATTGCAATTGTGTTTACACTTGTCGCGAAAGAGAATAGCGCTCGAGCTCAATTATATAACCACGCTCCAGTGCAGGGCCTTTTATATATTTTTTGGGGGCTTGAGGGTTTGACGCGCGCACAACCAACGCGGGAGCCAGCTGACTGAAGACTAAAACCGAATCTGAGCAATCGGGGGACCTGAGAGCGTCGGCGATCGCGGCCGAAGCTTCGCGATATATGTTCGTTTGTAGCTTCCCGAGAGCAAAGTACACTCGTCGTGGCTCTGTGCTTTTCGCGACTACCTCTCTTTTTCCCTCCAATTTGATGGGACAGCGCGCGTGCGGCCTCTGAACAACCCCTGCCAAAGGGAAAACAAACCCCCACCGCCCAGAATCGGCTTCTTCCCAATTAGCTATCATTGCTTTGGCCTTTCTGACACGCATTTCCCATACCCCTCGGCGTTATTTCCCACTTTTTATGACAGCCAAAACAAACGAGTAAAAGAATGGATCGTCTGGGAATGAGGTATCGATGCTATATGTACCCTATCTGAAACATCCGGGAAAAAATACTTCATGGCCAATTTTTATACTCGCAATTATTTAGAAAATCTAGAAAATTCTTTTTTTAATTCACTTAGAATGCTTATAATAAACTTTAGATAATGCATATTAAATTAATTTTTTTAATCATCTACATTCATAATAAAATACCTATTAATCTAATCAAATAAAAACACCTCTTAACGAGGTAAAAAACTAGTGACGATCGCACCTTCAACATACAAAAGTTCTGATATCAACATTTGTGACGAAAAGTTATTACACTCGTCATTAAATAGACTTTCTAATATTTTCTCATTCGGCCCGCCCTAGCAGACTATTCCAGCCTTTTTCCCTTCACAGGCATTTTCTATTGCAGCGTGCTGAATGAAAAAATATTAGAAAGTCTATTTAATGACGAGTGTAATAATTTTTCGTCACAAATGTTGATATCAGAACTTTTGTATGTTGAAGGTGCGATCGTCACTAGTTTTTTACCTCGTTAAGAGGTGTTTTTATTTGATATCAGAAGTTTTTGTTTGTTTACATTTGCTCTCATAGGAGCTAATATATACATTTAAATTTAAATTGGTCAATCATAATTTGTAAGCCATTGTATTTAAACAAATTAAGTTAAAAAGTATTTCAAAATACCTTTTAAACGAGGTATGGCACATGTCTGTACCTTTAGTAGTGTAGAACTTACAAACTAACGAAATTTAGCCATTTTTAGCTTTTTTCCCGCTAAAGTAGCGGCTTTTTCCAAAAGACGTAGAACAAAAGATTCCTATATGTAACTCTTAAGTGCAAATTTACTGATTCCATGACCCTAAAATACAGTTCGGATACCCTCACACAAAATTTAATACTCAGGAAGCTTTAGTTGTTCGAGCTGCCAAAAGTGGCTATTTTCGTATAAAAATAACTTTTAAACGTGACTTTTTACAGTAATGTGTTATATACCAAAATTTAAGGAATCTCAAGGGCTATACAGTTTAAAGTTTTCAAGGAAATCGTTAGAGCCGTTTTTGAGAAAAATAAAAATAAGCTAAAAAAAAAGTTTTTAAAAATTGTCTTTTGTTCATATCTTTTTAATTATTACATTTACACAAATTGCATATAGAAGGCGTTTATAGCATTTAAAAATACCTTTCAAACAAGATGCAGCACAAGTCTGTAGCTTTAGTAGTATAGAAGTTACGGTTTTCCGAATTTTAGCTATTTATAGCTGTTTTCCCGCTAAACTAGCGAGTTTTTCCAAAAGTGGTAGAACAAAAGTTTTTTATATCGATGGGATGAACGTCATATTAAATTTTCAAAACTTAAGAAACATGTTTTGGACAAACTGACAAACTGACAAACAGAATTAAATTTTCAATTTGGGAAGAAGAAGGAAATCTTATTTTGGCTATAACTTTTGAACGGAGCGTCGGATTTTGACAAATGACCCCTCATTCGACGGGTATTTTCAAAAGGAATACAACTAAAACATTGCGAGGGGGCATTTATCCCCACCGGCCCCAACAGCTCCAAATTTCGAAATTTTCACTTTTTCACTTTCACCGCTCTCTCTCCCAAGCCAATTGATTTTCTTAAAGTCTTGGTATGCAATCCTTTAAGTTTTTGCAATACCTTTCGATTGGTGTATTACTCATTACGATCGGACTATCACAGCAGATTTTCAATTTTGCGGCTATATAATAGTAGTCGCCTTCGCACACTCTCCTGGTGCGCTTCGTCACTACATGGACTGCCGTCCATAGTGATTAATATGAATTTTTAATTCACAGAAACAATATTTATCAGCAGTAGCCTTTTTAAATAAATGAAAATTCTTATGAAAAATATATATAAGGGTTTCTGTTGAATAATAATGCTATGAGAATTATTGGAATAAAAAAGCTACTCTTTAAATGAATACTCCCTGCTAAATTTATCAAAAAATGTGGTATGAAAAGTAGCTAATAAACGATACCTTTCGTCAATGGGCCAGACACTTTTGGCATTTATTTGCCTGTTATTGTATACACGTTTCGAATCTTTATCACAAAAGCGACTTTTCGCATGCCAAACCGGATCGCACCGATTTAGCACCATCTCGAGGGTCTGCCACCAAGTTGATAGCCACATGACGGGCGTGTGACTTTATTAGCTCCCCGCCTGGATGACGCTCTCTCCAGAGGTGATCTTAAATGTTTACAGACGGTGGAAACTTTTTCCACTTCATTACTATGCATACGTCATATTTGTAAACAGGGTTCCCGATTAGGCCAGGCCCAGTCCAAAAGGTCCGGGGCGAATCTTTCGCGTGTCGTCAACAGAAAACACATTTCAAATTCAATATATAAAAACGCAAAATAAAAATGGCTAGCTCTTATCAAACCGAAAAAAATACAGTGGAATAACAAGCTAGTCATTGAAAACTGAGCTCTGACCACAAGATTCTAGACTATCGCCCGAGATAAGAGTAAAAAGTTCGGGGGAAAGCCGCAAACACACCCATTTTTAGGACCGGTTCCTGGTGATGTATCAGTAGTAAGTGATACCTTAACAAGCTGGAATTAATTTACGATGCCGAATAAATAGATGTGGTTAACTGCACCGGGTGCTATTCAATTGCCTACTTAACGAGCCCCCATCGGCATTAAATTGCCAGTGTCTCGAATAATAAACAACAATTCCCAGAAACACTTGAATTATATGATCGCCACAGTCATGCTAGTATCATTCACGTACTTAGTGGATAGAGTTGTCTAAGAACCAACTGCGTGTCTATATTATGCCTTTTAAACTTATACAATATTTAATTTGTTAGCTCACTTCGAGAGGTTCCAAGCAGGAATCAATCACTGGTTGCAGCTGCCTCCGGAGTTCTCGAAAAGATTCGCAAGTGCGCGACAATTACAACTTCTAGACTGCGGACTTTGGCCAAGAGTGATTACAGGGCGCAATTCGCGTAAATATTTTTCGCAACATACTAACTACATAGCAAATACTAGTGCACATATATAGGTCTTATCGGGGCAAAAATGCGTCCAATCTCTGGGCGAATCAATCATCATATAGCGGGCAACTTAATTATGGCCGCAACTTAATTAAAGCCCAGTTAGTGCGCAGGCTTCGACTGGGCCAGCCGTTCACTTTTCCTGTTCATCAGGCTAATGCAAGACGATTGCTATTCCGGACCTGTGTCCTTGCAAGGTTCCTAAAAATAGAAGCGAAACGGGACCCGACTAGCTGGTAGGTAGTACGTCAGAGCCAATGAACCGGCTGCCGAGAACTCGCCATTCCAAGTCTGCTTGACAACAATCCCCTGGAGCCGGTTGACCTTAAGATTTCAAGTCTGCACAGTCGGGCAGAAAAATCAAAAAAACCAAAGTTGATAATCTAAATTTTGAAAAACTTGTTCCAGACGATCGACGCTTTTTGGGATTCCTCTAAATGGCAATAATACAGGGGCGTTCGTTTGGTGTGATTTCCCAGTTACATGGGATTGATATAAATTGTGGAAATTAACAGTGACAGTGAGCAAAAGATGATAAAAGTAAACAAAATGATTACGCAGACAACAAAGCGCGATGACATCGTCACCTGCCTCCGCACACAGAAAGAAATTAGATAATGCGGTGATATTAACAACAAAAACGCGTGTCATAGCTATCAATATTAAAATATTATCAAAATATATTTCTAATTACTCTAGAGTACAAATAAAGCAATAATAGCAGTGACTCAGTACTTTTGTTTTTGGGTTGTTGTACCTTAAAATAATTTTAATTTTATTTAGAAAAGTCTTTTTTGTTTGCAGACTCATCTCTGTTTTTCTGAGTTAGTAAAGATTAGTACAGAAACTCAATTTTCCCTTCTTTTACAAATCTTACTTTTAAAAAAATTGTACTCATAAGAAAACCTTGTCATTAAATGCAGAGTCACATATTTCTAATAAATATTTTCAAAGAAGAGATGTAAAGTATGCAAATAATAGTAGCTAGAAATTCAGATGCAAGTCCCTTATAATATTTTTACCTTTAACTCAAACGTACAAGTTTTCACCTGAATTTCATCTCTTGAATATGCAATTATTTTTTGCGGTGCAACTAAAAATGCTGGATCTTTATGACAATGTGAAAAGCATCCCGATAAGCGGGCGGAACGATATCAAAACGGACTTCCCATAAAGCGACAGTTTAAACAGTCTGATGAAATAAGCGCAACATTTACGTCAGTCCCGACTAAAGAGAATGATTAAGAGAGTGCGATCTCATGGGTATCAAAAGCTCAGTCCTCGAGAATTGGCCGATTGAAATGCTCTCTCAGGTGAAGGTAAAATACTACAAAAATAATACACATGCAGGCAATATAATTTGTGGCTGATTAGCGAATGGGACTGATGATAAAGCCTTTCTCGGTGGGTGGGATGGGTGTGTTCGGTGTCCGGGCGTTTTTAAATGTACGATTGTGTTCTCGAGTGCCCTGCTTCTAGGTGAGGTTGGGACTACAACAATATTAATGGTAATCGTAATATGTAACTTGACGGATATGTACCTTCAGATCTTCCTCAGTTAGTCAGGAGTAGTGTGGGTGTAGGAACTACATTCGACAGTATAGATCGTTAGGGTGTGGAGTGTTTTTGTCGGTTTCGATTTTGTTTTGGATATGGGCGAGGATAAGAAGGGTAAAAGTTGGCAATTAGTTTAAAATAAGAGAACGTTAAACAGCTACAAAGTACTAGATGTTATGTACATGTTTAATTTAAAAAACAAACGCGATAGAACAGAAACTATCTCAGATGGGCAGTGCGACCCTGTTCCAGATCCACTGCCCTCTGCAGTTTTAACTCAAGAACTTGCACTAAATACTATGGTTCTGGGATAAGTCATTCAAGGGACTTACAGTAGAGTGCCGCCAGAATTTAATCAAGTCGTGAATGTCCGTGGAGGGCGCCAGGAGCATAAAGTCTCGCCACTCGTTAAAGCTAATGTTCAGGCTGCCGTCCTTGTCCATTCTGCAAAGCAAAACTTAGTTATAGAGAGATGCTTGTGAGTAGTTGATAGGAATGCCAACCTGGTGAGCAGATTCCTGGCCTCGTCCAAGTCAATGTCCAGGCCCAAATCCTTGAATGCCGAAATCAGCTCCTCCAGGTCAACTTTGCCTGCAATAGCAATTCAGTTTATAAAATCGAATCCAATTAGAGGGCAGCATTAACTCACCATCACGGTTTTTGTCTAGGTGCGAGAACTGCAGCACCAAGTTCTTCTCATGCTCCCGCACGTAGTGCAGGAACTCGGCGAAGCCCACGTTGCCACTCTGATCCTTGTCCGACTGCTGAAGGAATTTCTGTAATGGAAATTAATTGCGGAATATTACTGACTTGAATTTATCGAGGAATATTACTGATAGACTCCTGGAATATTACTCGAAATTAGTGCCACACGCTGGCAAGCTGGGAGCATAATGAGCCCCTGACTGTGGTATCGACCTGAATCGCGAATACAAATCAATTTCACGTATCACGAGGGCTTCGCCAGCGGAAACCATAAAAATCTCCTCAGTCGTCTGCACATTAACCCTCTGTATACCAGCTAATCCAATTCTAATTGCTAATTGAACTGGTGGAAATATGTACTTGTTGCATGTAATTTCACAATCTGATGATTTATGCAGAATAAATTAAAAATAATGGAAAAAATAGCTAACTGAGCGTAAAAGTTAATAAAAAAATTCTTAACCTCTTATATCAGTTAAAAATATTATTTTTATCTTAGTGTTTCTACCTTTAAAAACGATAACCATCAGTTTGTTTTGTCTAAAATGTAAATAAAGCAGCTATTAATATCAAGAACAAAGTCTGCTAGTCAACCAAAACATTTCTATGGGCGAAAGCAATGTGCTCGTCTAAAAATAGATTTTTTCTCCTTTTTGGCAAAACACATTTCTCTTGATTTAATGAGCCCTTTTTTGGCAAGTTGAGATATGACACATTGAAACTGAGGGTTAAGCTGCCCAGGGTCAGCAGCCGTGCCAAATGTTTCACCCAGATCAGGGCATTCTAATGCCCGTATGTACATTGTATAAATTAAGATTCTCAGATACATTTGCTCTTCAAGGCCGCATATTATTGATCTGTGCCGTTGTATGCTTGCTAAATATTCTTTAGCTTATAACAAAGGCATTGCAGTTCCCCGAGTGAATGGCGAGCCCCGGGAACGTGTAGGTGAATTTTCTCAGTCCATAATGTAATGCAAATTATATTGTCTATTTAGAAGAAGTATTATAAAAGTGATTGTTTGAAGTACCGACTTATAAAAAAATATACTTAATTTAAAAAGGAGCCAAAATTTTTTGTTTTCTTGCAGAAGAGTAACTAAATACTCTTAAAACATAGTTTTAAATTTAATAAAATAAATATATCAAATATTAATCCTATAAGAGCAAATCTAATTCTTGTGAAAAGTCGGCAAAAAGTCTTATAAAAAAGATTGCTTGAAGTATTGACGCATAAAAAAGTATCACTATGGACGGCAGTCCATGTAGTGACGAAGCGCACCAGGAGGGTGTGCGAAGGCGACTACTATATATACACGAAGAAATGAAAATCTACTGTGATGGTCCGATCATAATGAATGATACACCTATCGAAAGGTATTGCGAAAACTAACAGGATTGCATACCAAGACTCTAAGAAAATTAATTGGCTTGGGAGAGAGAGCGGTGAAAGTAAAAAAGTGAATATTTCGAAATTTGGAGCTGTTGGGGCCGGTGGGGATAATTGCCCCCTCTCAATGTTTTAGTTGTATTCCTTTTGAAAATACCCGTCGAATGAGGGGTCATTTGTCAAAATCCGACGCTCCGTTCAAAAGTTATAGCCAAAATAAGATTTTCTTCGTCTTCCCAAAATGAAAATTTAATTCTGTTTGTCAGTTTGTCAGTTTGTCAGTTTGTCCAAAACATGTTTTCTAAGTTTTGAAAATTTGATATGACGTTCATCACATCGATATAAAAAACTTTTGTTCTACCACTTTTGGAAAAACTCGCTAGTTTAGCGGGAAAACAGCTATAAGTAGCTAAAATTCGGAAAGCCGTAACTTCTATACTACTAAAGCTACAGACTTGTGCTGCATCTCGTTTGAAAGGTATTTTGAAATGCTATAAACGCCATTTATATGCAACTTGTGTAAATGTAATAGTTAAAAAAATATGAACAAAAGACAATTTTTTAAAACTTTTTTTTTAGCTTTTTTTTATTTTTTTCAAAAACGGCTCTAACGATTTTCTTTAAAACTTTAAACTGTATAGCCCTTGAGATTCCTTAAATTTTGGTATATAACACATTACTGTAAAAAGTCACGTTTAAAAGTTATTTTTATACGAAAATAGCCACTTTTGCAAGCTCGAACTACTAACGCTCCCTGAGTATTGAAATTTGTGTGAGGGTATCCGAACTGTATTTTAGGGTCATGGAATCAGTAAATTTGCACTTAAGAGTTCCATATAGGAATCTTTTGTTCTACGACTTTTGGAAAAAGCCGCTACTTTAGCGGGAAAAAGCTAAAAATAGCTACATTTCGTTAGTTTGTAAGTTCTACACTACTAAAGGTACAGACATGTGCTATACCTCGTTTAAAAGGTATTTTGAAATACTTCAACGCCTTTTTAACGGAATTCGTTAAAATACAATAGTTTAAAAATTATGATTTATGACCAATTTAAATTTAAATGTTTATATTAGCACCTATGAGAGCAAAAGTAAACAAAAAAAAATCTGATATCAAATAAAAAACACCTCTTAACGAGGTAAAAAACTAGTGACGAACGCACCTTCAACATAAAAAGTTCTGATATCAACATTTGTGACGAAAAAATATTACACTCGTCATTAAATAGACTTTCTAATATTTTCTCATTCGTCACGCTGCAATAGAAAATGCCTGTGAAGGGAAAAAGGCTGGAATAGTTTGCTAGGGCGGGCCGAATGAGAAAATATTAGAAAGTCTATTTAATGACGGAATGTAATATTGTCTATTTTGAAGAAGTATTATAAAACTTTTGTATGTTGAAGTATCGTTCGTCAATAAATTTCTTAATTTATTAAGGAGGTGTTTTTTTTGAACTTAATTCAATGAGAACCCCAGATTAGAACATAGTTTTAAATTTTATAAAATAAATATACCAAATAATGTTTAGCAAATTATAATTAATCCTTCTATAAGAGCAAATCTAATTCTTGTGAAGTCGGAAAAAAAGCCTTATAAAAAAGATTCCTTGAAGCATCGACTCATAAAGAAGTATACTTAATTCAATGAGAACCTGATAATTTTTCGTTTTCTTGCAGAAGAGTAATTAAATACTCTTAGAACATAGTTTTAAATTTTATAAAATAAATATACCAAATAATGTTTAGCAAATTATAATTAAACCTTCTATAAGAGCAAATCTAATTCTTGTGAAAAGTCGAAAATAAAATCGAAATCTGACCCGTAACACTGTATTACAAAATACTTTTTCCTTTTTAAAATGATAGCTGGATTTTCCTCCCCATAGTTTCTATATCCTCAACCTATCTCTTCACCCGCAACCTCCTCATCCCATCATATCTCCAACTCACCTCCGCGTAGACGCTCGACAAACCGAACTCGTGCAGCGCCGCCGAGAGGTCGTGGATGTCGATCCTGCCGTCGCCGTCGCGGTCCAGCTTGTTGAAGATCTTCTCCAGCCGCTCCTCGTCCTCGATGGGTATCTCGGTGGGCAGGATTTGGCCGGAGTTGGCGACCTCGAGCAGGTCGTAGGGCGAGGGGTTGCTAACGAGATGGGCATGCTGCAGGCCGAGAGTCGTCGTCTGGCCGAGATCATGGCTGTTGGCGAGGGTGCGGGTGCGGGCGGTGGAGTAGGTGGCCTGCGCCTGCTGGGCGAAGTTCGGGCTCAAGTCGATGTCGATGTGCTGCTGCTGCTGATCCTGCGGCTTCTGATCCTCTCGCTTAAAGTCCTGCTCCCTTTGATCCTGCTGCGTGCTTACTGCTAAGGAGGCGCTGTGTTCGATTCCAACTTGCTTTCTGACCATTCTCCACACTCGTGCTTACAGTTTACCTTGAGTTTTTTTTTGCTTTTAACTGGCAGCTGAAGGATTTCTCTGGGTTTGCTCGGGTTTTCTCGGTTTCTCTGGGGGATTACGTGTTTGGGGATAACTGCTGCTGCTCTTGAGTCTCCTATGGCCGGCTCATTTTGGTCTCCTTGGGGAATTAAGTGGAAAACTGGCCTGAAAATGGTAAAACGTATTGTATTTGTTATTTTTTAATGTTTATGTGTCTGGGGCGAAAGATAAATAAACCAGCCTAGCGTATCGAGTTTCCCCGCGATGAAGTCATCCTGGGTGGCTTTCGAATTTATGTCTTTTTGCCAATTTTTCTGGACCCCATTGATTTTCGCTGCTAATTTGAAGGCCAGCGAATTTCCGGAAAACCTTGAAAACCCCACAGCTTCACGCACACGCACGCACATGTCTCCAAAGTTCCACGGGTGGCGGAGAGAAGAGAGAAGGGAAAAGGGAGAGTTTCCCCAGCCACTCGAACTTTCTACTTGCAAGCGCAGCTTGAAAACGGGGCAATTCTCACTTTCTCGCCGCTTTTCTGTCAATTCTCCGCTTTTCTCAGCGTTTCTCCAGCCGGGTGTGACTCAAATTTCTCGCGAAACGCTAGCGCATTGTTGCCAATTTGGCAAAAATTATTCTGCACTCGATTTTCATGCACACACGCACACGCACACAGGCACACTCAAGCGATTGGAATGTGGATATGCAAAAGAAAGTGGTAAACTATTTGTGCATTTTAGCTGCTTTTATGGCCATTACCTACTGAACGGGCTGTGGAGAGGATAGTCTGGTTTTACGCTATTTCTGTGGCTCTATTGGGTTTAGGCAGAAGCATACAGAACTCTTTAATTTAAGCGAAATCGAAATTTGGGGTTTTGACAGTGTGACCACGGAGGTTTATCTAGATAAACTTCTTGGGGGCCTGGAATACCCTAAAATATGTCACGACAAAGGTTCAAGACTTTGCTAAACCGGTACTCAAACGGTTATGGGATTTTAAAAATAGATGTACCAGGTCACACTAGATATTTTAAATTAATTTTGAATTTCTAGCGAATGCAATCAAGCAGTAATAACTCCCACAAAAACAAAGCAAACCTCTACACTTGCTAACATAATATGTATTTTCTCATCTCGCCTCCCTCAGAATCCTGGTATATATTTTAAGCTAGGTAATTCGTTAAGTAGATCTATACAAAATTGGTCTAAACTGTGGAAATAAACGGGAATAGTTGCACTGTACGTTTGAAGTTGGAGCTCGCCGTTAGTTGGGGGAATACATGTTCAGTTAGTTACATTAAATGCGCGCACAGCAGCCTCGGCCTGACATCAAGACACAGGTAACAAAGAAGGAGACACAACACAACTGAATGGAATACAAAATACAATCGTTACAATCGGTTCGGATTCTAGTTCATCAACAGGTCCCAGGCGTCGTCCTCGGCGGTGGCCTTGTTGCCCGACGAGGCAGTCGGCTTGGGCTTCACATTCTTCACGTCCAGATTCTCGAAGCCCTCGCTCAGCTTCTGCGAAGTGTCCTGCAGCTTCATGTTGCGGCGGGCGGTCGATCCGCCGGACGGAGCATTCTGGTAGGAGGTCTCCGCGCTCTGGTAATTGGACGCCTCAAACCCAGACCAGTCGTCGTCGCGGGTGAGGCCGGCGGTGGCGGTGCCGGCGGTGCCGCTGGTGCTCAACTGATTGTGGTACGAACTGGAGCCGGTCAGGTGCGTCTTGTTGTTGCCGTTGTCCTGCTGCCAGCCGCCCCAGTCGCTGTCGCTAACGCCGCTCTGCTGGCCCAGTCCGCCGGCCAGATTGCCGCCCACCGAGTTGGAGCGCTGATAGGCGCTGTCCTCGAAGTTCGGGTCGTTGTATCCTCCCTGGGGAGACGAAATGTTGCTACCGGCCAAATTGTTCCAGCCTCGTTTGCCGATATCGGTGACCTATGGAGGAAAATGACAAGGATATTGAGGATATTAGCTTTATGGATCAGCTGGGCCGGATTAAGCAGAAGCTTTCACAACTACAGACCTTGCTGGCTACATCGGTGACTCCGCTCTGAACGGAATCTAGCAAAGTTCCTTCTTTAATCTACAACAAAAAAGACGCAAATAAATCATACAAATAAAAAGAAATTAAATAAATAAACAAACAAAATAATATTTGGAGCGTTACTTTCATAGATTTTGTTCTCTTATAAATTATAAGTTATAATATAAAATAAATAATATAAAAGTATATTTAAATTACGTTTCAATTCATTTATGTAAAAATCTAAAATATGAATAAGTTACTTTATATTTTCAAAAAACACTCAGAAGACTTACTTTTACTTCAGCAATACATTTAATGTATTTGTTATTTACATTTACTAAAAGCGTTTAAATACAGTCTTTAAATATGACAAAAAAGTAATTTAAAATCAAAATTATACATTCTACTAATTCTTTACACAAAGAAATAAGAATAATATTCATATGTAGTTAACAAAATCAATATAAAATTGAACAAAATCCGAGAAATTAAGCAAATAAAGGATCAAATTCTAGTACTCGACACCAAAGTCAAGACAACTCACCTTCGTTGAGGCCAAATTGACTGTGGTGACGGCCTTCTCCTTGGCGGTATTGGCCAACTTGGAGGCGTTGGTGGAGAAGAGGCTCCAGCCGGAGGCCAAGGTGGACAGCGTCGAGTCGAAGAGCTCCTGAGATTGCGTTTTCGGTGGGGGCTCGCGTGTGAACCCGAAACCTGCATACTTTCCGCCCTGACTCGGTGGCAAGTGTCTGTAAATAAGAAAGAAATATTAAACTGAGATAACAAGGGGAATATTCTAAGCTGCCTACTCTGGCCTGGAGGCATTCTCCACTTGGCGCTTGCTGAAGAACTCCTCCTTCTGGTCCTTGAACTCCTGCGTTTGGTACTGCTGATAGCCTCCAGTTTCGCCACCGCCTCCAGCGCCTCCTCCATTCTGATAGCCCCCGCTGCCGCCATAACCTGTTGCACTGGGTCGCGACTGGGAGCTGCCGCCACCTCCTCCGTAACTATTGTTGCTGCCCACTCGTCCCTCCGCCTCCTTGAAATCCCAGCTCTTGCCCTGCGCCAAGGTGGCTATCTTATCGCGGTAGAGAGCGGCAGCCTTGGAATTGTAGCGCTGCGTGATGGGCGCCCGGTCGTTCCAGTCGGCCTGATCCTCGAGGAACTCGCGGGCATTGCGATTGCCGCCCGCCTTCATCTTCTCCAGCTCGATGTCCTTCCACTTGTCCATGGTGACGGAGCGCACGAAGGACAGGTGGACGCCCAGGCTGCGGTGCTTGCCGGAGCACTCCAGGCAGATCCAGATGCCGTAGGTCACGGAAACCCACTGGGGATTGTGGGTTCCGCACTCGAAGCATTTCTGGGGATTCCAAGGGGAGAACAATGAAATTCGGAAATATATGTGAGCAAAAGAGCAATACCCACCGAGTTCTCGTCCTGGGGCTTCAGTTCCTGGAGCACCCTGCGCGTCCTGGGACTCGCCATGGCAACTGGAAACTCACTATGGCTCCTCCAAAGAATCTAATTAGATTTCCGCAGCTGATTGGCTTTTGCTGACGCTGGCGCTGATTTCGGTGCAATCTTGGCCACACAGTGCGATGCTGAGCTCCCACGGTCGCTTAAGAGCATTTAAAGTCCACGGAATGCGACCAATGCTTGGTAAAACACATTAAATAGGTTAATAGGCGAATTTTTCGAAACAGCTGAGACGCTTGGAAATAATGGCAAATTGGCAAAAAAAAAATTGTTAAGCGTGTCCCAATTGGAATGGGGTTGCAGTTAGAGCTGGCAAACTATCGATGGCACTATCGATAATATCGATGGTTAGCAGCCAGCTTGCTCCATCGATGTTTTGAAAACTATCACGATATTATCGCCGTCATATACACACCACTACTTTTTTTGTGTTTTCGCTACAGCTAAACGGTGAGAAAAATTGTAATATTTGTATTATAATATTTACATTAAACCTTGGGTTTCTTTAGACAGTGGAAAGTGATTTGTGGTTCTACAGCGGTGCCCGTCAGGAACACCTTAATCAGTAAGGATGTTCAAGTATATAAAAGCTTATACTTATTTTCTTTAACAAAAATTTGTTGATTTCCGATTATAATGTTTAAATTTAAGGTTGATCTCAATTATAGCGGCTGCACCGCTACTTTGTTTTTATGTTTTTTGAATATTCTTTTTATTTTTATTTACTTTTAAATTGATTAAGTTTGACAAAAGAAAAACGAAATGGAAAAATAGATAACACAATAACTATAATTCTAAATTTATTAAAATTGCAAACTAATTTATAAAGAATGCCCTTATTATTTTAGCTTAGCTTTTCTTAGAAAGAAAGGAATAGCCTCTACATGACCAAAATTTTTTAATTCGATATTATCGCGATAGTATCGATGGTTTCCGAAAAAAAACCTCGAAAACATCGATAGCATCACTATCGATGTTTTGCCAGCTCTAGTTGCAGTGTGACCACAGCTGGCAGAGCGCTAAATACAGAGGATGGGGAGCCCCCGGTCACACTGGATGATATCGATATATCGATTGTTCGAGGACCAAGAGCGCGCTTTTTAAATTGCTTGCAGGAACAATATTTACAAGCAAAAAATTGATTTTGTAAGTAATTTATTTTTTTGTTATATTTATGTTTGAAAAAAATGTTTGGTGCTGTTATTAAATATGGAACGATGCCAATTCAAGTTTTTTTACATCTTAAATGGTAAGAAGTAAAAACAACATTTTGTAAATTATGTTTTATATCACAGCAGATTTTCAATTTTGCGGCTATATAATAGTAGTCGCCTTCGCACACTCTCCTGGTGCGCTTCGTCACTACATGGACTGCCGTCCATAGTGATCAACAGTTTTTAAAATTATTTATATTGGATTGGAAAAAAACAATATATTTTAGAAAAGTGTCTGCGTTTTGTACACAAAAGGTAAATTTCAAATTATAAAATAAGGGTGAAACGAAAATTTATATAAATTTCTGTTTGGAATTATTAAAATTTCGGCAACATCTCAGCATTGCAGAAAATCTCCCTCCGCTTTCGAGCAAATTCAATTAACCCTACTCGATGGCATGGCCTTTGTTTCGAGCACACCGAAACACTCAAACAAATTATACATTATCACGCTGATCTGATTTCCAGATCGGTCGTATTCAAGTGCCGACCACTGGCGACTGGAGATGCAGCTCCAATTTCGCTGCGTCATCCCGAAAAAGTTAATAAAAACAGCGATTTATCACACTCCCAACAGTAATCAATCTCCTACCGATTGTCGGTGAATTTGAATTTGGCTTCGAATTTGGGCTCTCGAATCCCGGGCACTGGAAATTACTTACATGAACGACTTCAATGCAAACAGACCGCGGGTGGGAGGCCACCAAAGATGAAAAAGGGGAGCCGGGAAATCCCAATTATTGAATTTAGGCGCCGACCGAAAAGCATTTTTCCATTTTCCAGTCCCAAAAGTACAAAGGTAAGTGACCACACACACGGCCGCACATAATTCAATGCCATTGGATTAGCATATAATTATGCACAATATTTCTGCAGATCGGCTGGCTGCCTGCCCACCGCTAATTCCCTTTCAATTTCCAAACTCGCGCATTTATTTAAGTCAGCGTCCTGGGATCTCTGCTCGTATAATTGGCGTCGCACGCCCAAACGGGGGGCGTGGCAGATCGGATCTGGATGCGAGCCGGTATGAGCATATAATTGCTGCGGCGACCGGAGGATGTGTTGAATTGAAAAGCCTGCCGGGTAATCCGATCGATCGATCCTGGTCCTCGGGTCCGCAGTTAAGTTACGACTCCTGCCCGCTAAGTGAGCCGGGCGTTCCTGGCTGGGCACTCGCTCGACGCTTTCAACAACTACTTGTCCTGCTGCCGGAGCAGATCCGATGCACTCAACAAAATATTGGGAAATATTCGAAAGATAAATGGTGAATTGTAGAGTTTAATATTCCATTTAAATATTTGTCAAGAGAATTCTCTTGGAAAATCGAATATGAGAATTAAGCGGCGCATAAATGCATTAAAATAATCAATGGATACCGATTCCTGAAGAATTCGCGTGAACCGGTTGACAAATTTATTTCTTTTGTTATGTGTATCTAAAGAATTTCTTGTTTTATAATTATTAATTTTAGTTTTTAGTGCAACAAGCTTGAGTTTTTTATTTATTAACAACAATTTTTTTAAGACTTTAATTAAGTATTTAATCGGTCACTGTAGTTCAATTTCACCGTCCTTTTAGTACACCCAGAAAAATGATGGACAACATTTTAGGTCATGCATAGCCTAAAACATTTTAAATGGACTAAAAGTTCCTTTTTAGGTAATGTACTGCCTGAAAATTTAAATTTTTGGTATATTTGCCCTACTATTTAGGTCCCGTATAGCCTAATATTTTAGGTCATCGTGGGCCTTAAAATTAATGCATTTTACCTAAATAAATTTGCACGGAACTCTGATACCGTTCTAGCGACGCTATAATTCCCAACCAGTTATAGCGCGGCTTGCATGGTAACCCACTTCCATCGTTGAATAAAACAGCGATTTCACTGCTGAACAGTGAAGCCTCTTCGCTCGTTTTTGTGTGTTGGAATAATGACGACTTCTTGAAGACTAAGCCGACATTGACCTCGAGTTAGCTATAAATTTCTCTGTATTTACTTTATAATATGAAACATTTTTTCGGTACAAATTTTTAGGCCAAAGAAAGCCTAAAATTTTGGATAGGGGTTTTCTCATATTTTAAGGCAGCCAATTACCTAAAATCTAGGCCAAAAATTACCCCATTTTAGGCCATTAATGGCCTAACATTTTAGGTCATACAATCCTAAATTTTAGGCCATTCAAGGACTTAGCTCCAGTTTTAGGCCAATTTTACCTAAATTCTAGGCCATTTTTTGACATTTTAGGTCATTTTTTTTTCTGGGTGTACTGGTTTTGGGAAGACAAATGTAATTAAAACCTCTGAACAACTTTTTTCATTTTAGATTTATTAACGTTTACGTTAACGATTATTTCTGTGTTACTTGACCTAAATTTAATACTTCTTCCAAGAAAGGGAGACTTTCTATATTTTTGACTTCATAAAAGTCTTCTAAGATACATCCCTCATGAAAGCTTGTTAAGCAATTTCTTTCTTTCAAAAACCACCATTTTACCTTGAAACTCGCTGGCCGTATCATTTTTCGAGTGTGACCCCGCTGGTGGTCTTATCAGAAGCCGCGGAGTACTCCCCGATCTGCCAGAAATGGCATTGCTGCGCATCCATTATCGGCTCTGTCACTGCTCTTGCTCGACGGGGCCACGCCCCCAAAAGCGCCACTGGGCATTTTGCACTCCGTTGAGGTTCGCTTGGGTCCGCTCCCAAAGTCCGATTCTGAGTTATTGTGTGGATACGATCAAATTATAGGCTTAGGCTTGCATTAAACTCGCATAGACGTCGTCGGTTGGCCAAAACTGAAGGTGGGTTCCAGGGGATCGATGGTTCGAGGTTCTGGAGAGGATGCGCATTTTATCATCGGGGCATCCGGTCCCTCCTATGCTTAATTTCCACCTCCTGCAACCGCCGGTCCCCTTGCAACTTGTCAACACGTGCAAAACAATGCTCGAATCGTAGTCGCATTCGCTTTCGCATTTGCAGAGGGTTTCCCATTCCCAATGACGTGCAAATGAATTTGAATTTATGCAAATGAGCAGACTGTTCGCACGCCGCAGCCACAAAGTCTGCGCAGGCACAGGTGATCTTCCTCTGAAGGCAGCCCGGATCCGAAAGGGAAAAACGCTGGCGAAATAAAATAAAATCGTTCGAAATTGCACCAATTAAGGGGAAATGTATGGGTTATTCCGGTGGACAGAGGGGTGTATATCCCCCCCTCAGATGCAGATTGGTCTGCATTTATCAGCGATATTAAAGCGTTAAGTGAATTACTTATTCTCCTGGTCGCAGCAATGCGTTACCTTTCATGTCCTGCTGTCTCGGGGTTCCCCCTCCCTGAAAGTCCCTCTTCCGAGTTGTCAATGCCGATGTCGATGGCCGCGATCTTGCATGCGACAATTATATGGGCCCTGTGTGCTGTGCGACGCCAGTTTGGCTCCCGATCCCATGGCATCCAAAAGCGGCAGCTCTCTCAAAGAGGGCCGAAAATAGGAGCAGCGGGGATGAGCTGGGGGGAGGGGAACTCCACCAGGACTAGTGATCTCGGCTACCGGAGACGCAAGGCTTTGGCCAAGCCATTCCTGGTGCCGCTCCTCGCCGCTGATCGATTCGGACCCAATCGATCGGCAGCATCATGCAACCGCGCACAGCCTTCAGCTTCAGTTTCGACTCGAGATCCATGGGCAGAGGCGTTTCCAGGAGGGTTTCATGGGGTTTCGGCCACCCAAAATGAAAGTCTTACTGATCCTTAACTTTAATTCGAAGATTTTCTAATTTTTTCCACCTCGATTTAATCTTCTATAATTCCAATAGTATTACAATAGTTACGATATTAATTAATACTATATCAAATACAATAAATGCTACAAATATAAATTCCGAATTTGATGCTACGAAATAAAATGGCTAAAATATTAAAAAGAAATATAAATTGAAAATACAAAACCTAAAATTGCTTGAATTTAATTCCAAACATTTTTATGAAATTTAGTTACGTGATATACCAAATGTTTTTTGTAATTTAAGTTACTTTTTTGAATATATTTTTATTTAGCATTTTTATTTTAGCCGGAAGATAAAAAATAGGTGAGCGAATATTTTAGTGAGAATTTTAACAATTTATTATGACTATTTCAAAAATATTCAAACATAAATAACTGAATTAATTTCAAGTTATTTTTATGAAATGTCTCTCGAAAAAAACCCTCCTTCGCTTAGCCCCTGAACTCCAGTCTTCAGCCCAGTCCCATTCCTGCTCCTTAGCTTAACAAATCGTGCCAAATAACACAACATAATGACAACAAAGCAGACGACGAGTCCGCAGACGTTGTCCACTTGGCTGCCTTTTTGGCCGGGAGTTGGGAATTGGAATTGCAAGTCGGTGATTGCCATTTCAAGATTTTGCCACTCACACCAGCACAACGTGGGGATGGCGAAAATTAAGAGATATTTATAATAAGCACGAAAACCACTTAATACTAACGCCTTTGGCAATTAACAGGTACAGGTGGCAACGGACAACGCTTGAAAAAAGCGTCGAGGATGCAATCGGAACTCTCGGATGATATGCACTCCAGTTTCGGTTGGGTTTGGAGTTCCATTCAGAGATACTGGGGATATCGCTTTGAAAGCTGGGACGACACTTGACCCCAAAGCGCCACTATTTCAAGTAGCTTTAGTATCTATAAGATTCATTGAGATACAAGTGAAAACCGTTACTCAACTATTTTAAGATAGGCCTAAATTCTGATAAACAAATTTATAACTGAGTACAATTTACAAGTTCAAATATATTTATTATAATTATTATTCTCTTCTATTTCTATTTCAGTATTAGATTTTTCGAAGAATCGCTTTTTCTCGTTCACTGTTTTGTATGTCAATTTAATGGCGCCTTGATGACAAGATAAATCCCTTTCTCCGCAGTTACTTCCCCACCATTGTAACCGGCTCATGTCAAATTGATTTTTAATTAAATTTTTTCCGGTGTAGCCCTTTCTGGTGGCGCAATCCGTTTTGGACGACTCATCGAAAGCCGCAGGTAACCGGGATCCGATTGGAGTTTCGGATTCGGGGCTTTAATTGTTTCGCATTCTCTTGGCAGAGGCAGGCGTCTTTCTTTCATCACCGATCGACGCTGGAGTTGACGCCTTCGGTGGCTCATTACAATCCGAACAATCAATAATGGAAAGATGGTAAAATGGTAAAATAGCGGCTGGCGCATAGTTCGATTGATTCTCACCGATCAACGATCAACGATCACTGGCATGAAATGAATAACTGTTTCGGGGGCTGCCCCCGTGGATCGGACATCATCGGGGATCTCTTGAGCGAACGATTATGGCAGTGGTTTTCTGATTTGACAGGCGTTAAATTAAAATTTAATTCGGCCATCTATATAATTATAGTGATCCATCCGAGCATACACATTGACGACAAAAACGAGGACGGCGACGACTCGGCAGCGCATGTAATTAAAGCCACATTAATCACCCGGCTCCAGCAATGAAGCTTCTCTTTTCCCCCTACGGAAGATCCCCGGGATCCCCGAGATCCCCAAGATCCCCGAGATCCCAAACCCATCCAAGCCAGGTACTTGAGTTCGAGTTTCTTGAGCTGGAGCCTGTGCCACTGCCACTGCCTCTGTGTCTGCTTTTCACATTGCTTTTGGTAGCCACAAAATTGTCAGATTTGTCCACTTGAGTTATTTTCGAAAAGTCTCTTTCGAGATGCCCCTTTATCCCCCTGGTGTCAAAGGGTGTCATCTTCTGAATTCCCAAACCAATTATACGAAACTCGTGAGAACTTATCGCACGCATGTCATCGTTTCGATTTTATTTGTACTCAGCACGCGGTTTGAAAACGGTGCTACAAACTGAATAAATTAAGTAAAAATTGCACTAAATTCTCGATTTAAAGCGATAGGAAAAATGGTCACTCGGCGTCGTGCTCCACGTTGATTACCTCCTCCTCCTCATCCCCGGACTCATTCTGATCCCGATTCGGGCCAGGATTGTGGCCCAGATTCATGGGCGTGCCCATATATTTGGCTATGTACTGGCGGGCGAAACTGAGGGCAAAGGCCGCCGCCGAAGCCGAGGGCAAGGTCATGGGCAAAGCTCGGAAGGCGCTGTTCTCACCGCCCATTGATAATGGAACTGATGCTGTGGGTGAGGCAGTTGGACGCACCACTAGTGCCTCTGGTGGTGGCTCTGCCACGTGGTTGCTGCTGCAGCTGCTCATGTTGCTGCTGTTGCAGATGTTGCTGCTGCTGCTCCCTGTACTCTTGATGTGGCTGTATGGATATGGCTGCTTCTGCTGGCCAGATTCGGCAGCTGGAACTGTAGCTGGAGCCACTGGAGCCACCGCAACCACCGGACTGGGTGAGCTCGATGTCGAGGGCGAGTCGCGCTGCTTGAGCAAGTTGACCCGCTGGTGGCGCCGCCATTTCGCTCGTCTGTTGGAAAACCAAACCTGGTTGATCAATCGGTGAAGAGACAATTTGTTAGTCGATAAAAAAAGAGCCGGGGATCGGTGTGTGTGTGTGTGCTCATTTCCGGAGTTGCTGAGGCTCCGAACGATGATGGTTAGTAGGGTGTAAGGTGTACAGGGGGGTGTTGTATCGATTCCATTGTGTGCTTTGATTGTCGGGGGAGGTTGGTATACCAAAAGTAAGGGGGTTCCATCGACTCACCTGAACCCTGGCCTCGCTCAAAGGCCGTCCGACCGGCCAGTTTCTCGCGGGTGCTCACACAGGGATAGTGCGACTTGTCGAACTCCTTCTCCAGCTCGTCCAGCTGCTCCGGACTGAAGGTGGTGCGGTTGCGCCGGAACTTCGGCTGGTCGCTGTCCTGCGACTCACTGTCCTCGCCCTCGATGTCTGGGGGAAGTAAAGATTTGAATTATTATATTATTTAAATATTTCGATCATTGATAACACTAAGAAAACATCACTGAGATAGCCCATCATTTAAGTTCAATAAAAAATTCTATAGACTTTTGTCAGACTTTATAATTTACAACCCGTCAGAATGCACTAAAATTATTTATGATTCATAAATTAATACACTTTGAAAATCAATTGTTTTTCTTTCCTTATGGTTTAATCTCTAAAAAATCGTTAAAAATACTTAGTAAAATAACTGCAAAATTATACTAATAAATAGATTTCACAACAACAAAATGTTGAAGAGAATTTTTTTTAATTTTTGTTGTAGAGCTGTCTTCAAAATTTGGAGTCCAAATACATTTTTCTTCTTTTTTTATAAAGGCCTCGGATTAAGTATATTTCAACTTTACAGCTCTACTTATAAAGTTTTGGCTAAGGGATACTTTTATGGTTAAATATGATTTAATATGATAATTATAATTCTTAGCACTCAAAAAATTTAAATCATGAATCTATTTTATTTTTGATATAAATATTTCATTAGGTCCTTAAATAATAATTTTATTAAAACCATTATAAATCTTTAAAAAATATTATCCTACTATCTAACGAAGACTCACCTATCATCCTATTGGCTTCCGCGTCCGGGGAGCGGCTATGGCTATCCCTGCTCCCTGAATCCGGAGAAAGTGCCGGCAAGGAGAGGCGTCCACTGCCCGCACTGCTGTCTCCGCAGGCACTGCCGCTGGTGGTGTTGTTGCCGTTGCTGTTGGCGGTGTTGCTGTTGCTGCTGTTGGGATTTGAGCTCATGTTGCCATTGTCGCTGCCGTAACTACTGCCACTTCCGCCTGGCTGCAGCGATCCACCAGCTGCGGCGGGCATGGGGACGGCTCCCCAAAGAGGATGATGCGTCGGCCACGTGGGGAAGCTGGTGTACGGATGCGGATGCGTGGGATGAATGGCATAGCCGTAACTCGCCGCCCGGGCAAACTCTGCCGCAGCCCTTTCCGCAGCTCGGTTCCGCAATATTCGATTGATGCTGCTCACCGAGGGAGCCGTGGCATTAGTGCAGACACCTGGACAAAAGGTTAAAGAAATATTAAAAATACTTGTTATTGGTGTTCATATATCGGAAAAAAAATATTCAAAACTGTTTGAAATATATAAAAATTGTTACTAAAAAGCCCTATATGAGTGCTTTAAAATCTCTACAATTTTGGTTTAAACTTTAAAGTCAAGGTAAGACATGAAAGCGACATAGTGGGGAAATATTTTAGGATATGGTATTCCACAGCTCATTTTATTTTAAAAAATTGAGATCACAAAAAATTTTTAATTTTTAAGAACTTTCAAATTAAATTTGAGAGTGTTTAAAATACTTGCATTATTCCAATTTGTAGATCAGTATTTGACTTCCGTTTTTAAAACCGCACTCAAAAAATATATTCCCAAAAAAATGATAATTTAGTAATGAAATAGTTTCAAAAATTAAAATAAGCCCAATAACCTAATTTCTAATATAATTTTATTATTATTCCCCGTCCTTTGGAGATCGGCGTTTGATATTATTGTTAGCAATCACTTTAGTTACTTTGTTTTTAATTTTCACTTTATGATTTCAATCATATACTTTCATTGCCGTTTATTCCAATTGATAAGGATATACTTAAGAGAAAAAGGCACTGTTTTGGATCTGCCTTGATTCTTTGTTTCCTGCACCGGATGCTGTGCATCATGACCTGTTGGTGACCCCGAAATGAGCTGGAGATTGACTGTAATGAGAGGAGCGATTGGGATCTCGCCGTGTGTGTGTTCGTGCGTCTCATGCGAGAGATGGCTATCGGATCGATTCATTGCACCGAGCGATGCGAACTGACCACAATCCTCAGACTTCAGTCTTCAGTCCAGTGTCCACTGTTTACTCTCCACTGACCATTTCCACTGCCCACGGGCAACTGTCAAGCGGCAAGCAGAGAATCGTCAACTAGTTGCTGCCGACTGGACTACTTATTGGCCGGCCTCCTATTCTGTCCGCGATTATCTCGCAACTTCTGAGGAGGGAACCCAAAATGAGTGACACAAATGTGAGCACATTTACATATCAATCGGACTGGCAGCGGATGTTCATAAATTAGCCAATCGATAAATCTAAATCTGCCGGCGGTGGAACAATATATATCCTCCTGATTCTTACAACATTAAATGGGCCCTCGGCGGGCATTCGCATTACGAGCACCATAAACACATCAATCCCAACCACCGATGCCTGTTGCTGATGGCTGCTCTTTCAGTTCCTCCTGTCAATCCGCTGCAAATTGAAGAAGCTGAGCCCAGGAACTCAGGAACCTGACGATCTCAAAGATCTGAAGAGCTGGAGAAGCGCGTAAGCAACTTTGGAACCAGAAGACCAAACGCTTGTCGCAACCGTTGTCATTTGTTGGGCAATTTCGCTTTCGGGGGTTCCCTGTCAGTTAATTAGCCCAGCTACTCGCATTGTGTCTCTCCCTATTCCATACTATCCCCATTGATCGGCATCGACATCCCCTGGACCTAAACTCATTGTTCCCAACCTACCTTCGGTGATCAGTCGCTCGCGGATTTCCCACGCGAAGATCGTCGGATTCTCGCGCTTGTACTGCTCGATCTTGGAGACTACAGTCGGGGTGGCCACCTTGGGCTTGGAGCCGCCAATTAGGCCCGGTGGTCGCAAGGGTGCCTGCAAGATTGAGAAATTGTGGGTTAGACATTTAATCGACATGGTGGGGAAATATTTTAGGATATGGTTTGTTTGATCAAATTAAAATCTAACATTTTTAAAAACTTTTCAAATGAATTTGGATGTCTTGACGATTTCTATATTTGAATTAGTCAATATATTATTGCTAGTATTATTCGTATTAAGTTTGCAGAGCTTAAGAAAAAAGACAGAATTTATTTGTATAATTATATGGTTAAATGTAATTTTAAAATATTTATAATGTTTAATGTTTGGTTTAATTTGTAACTATTATACGATTATACGAATATACAATTGATTACATTAAAATTTGATTGTAATATTTTGGCCTCCAAGATTTAAAAAATCCTGAACATTTTAAAAACAAAACAAACCCTAAACACAAGAAAACAATAATTAAAAAGCACAATGATTTATTTAATACACCATTAATCATAGACCGTTTTTGTTAAAGCCATGCCAGTAGCCCCTTATTGTTTTTGAAAAATGTTCACAATTAACTAAATTAATTTTTGGAGACCCAAAAATCTGACTGTTCGATGGCGTGGCAGGCTGTGTAAATTTTGGTAGGCACACCCCATCCCAGTTGTGCAATCAATTTGGCTTTTCTCCTACTTCTCCAGCTACTTGGGTGCCTTGGGCTCATGTATTGTGCGACTCGCATAATTTTCACATTGTTCAAAGCCGGTGTGCCCGTGTGGGCGTTTCGAACAGGTCAAAAGCCCTCCGGCCGCAGTGTGTGCATTGTGCGGCACTACGGGCTTCCAGATACCAGATACTCGAAATAGATGCCAAATAGCAGATACCTGCTACCTGTTGACTGCCTGCTCCGAGCCACTAACTAACTAGACAATTAAGCCAGCAGCCGGCGTCCATTCAGCGGAGCGCTAATTTGAATATTTGACAACATCAGCGGCCTCAGACTCCAAGTCGCAGTCACAGAGTCACAAAGTCGGCTCAAATGATAATTCGTCGGAAGCAGTTGACAGGCGCGCGCGTTTATCTTGTAAATTGAGCTCTGTCGCTGAATTACACCCAGAGAAAATCCCAAAGATATCGCTACGAATCACCAGATTAGCCGGCTCACTCGGACATGTCATTAAATTAATTTCGAGTGGCGAAAACTATTATCTTTAGCCTTTAATTAGCACACTAATTTATTTGGAATTTATTACACTTGGCAGTCGGATTTTGTTTTCGGTGCACTCGGTTGCCTTAAATTAATGAATGGGCACAAATGTACTAGTACATTTGTTTTCTAGCTTTTTGTGTGTGCAAAACGGAAATTATTTACACAATTTAAATTGACTTGAATGGGAATGAATGGCATCCACACAGATCGGATGGCGAGATTTGAAGTTACACTAATGAATATTTGTGAATGGGCAGATTTATTTGGCGTATCTTTTTCTGACACACTAAACTAGCTGGTGATAAAATAGCACTTATAGTATAGATCTCTATTCATCTGATGATTCTTTGTATTTGGATTTAGAAATTTAAAATGGAAAAGAGTGTGCGAGGAGTAAAAATGGTATAGTAAAAATTATATCTTATTATTTAGGTAAAAAATTAATATGTGGATTTAGCTATTTTAAAAAACTAAGCTTATGTTGAAGCGAAACTGGAAGAATGTTAATATTTTATTTTTAAAAATATTTTTGGATCATAATTTTCAAAGACTCAAAATGAAAAAAATTTAAAAAAATTAAAATAAATTTTTTTAAATAATGTTTTCTAATTTTTTCAATAGTTTTGGTAACATAATTTCTATTAAATTCAATCTTTGGGATCAAAAATTATTTTCGGTCAACCACAAGTGATGAAAATTCTGTGTTTCCGGCTCAAGTTGTAAGCTTGCAATTGAAATTAGCCACTTTGAGTGGAGACGGCTGCAAATCGAGAATGACATGGCTGGGTGTTGTGCCCACAGGTGGCAACAGGTGTGCGGCTGCTGTAGACTTCCTCAGGCGGGAAAAAGGGGGCTAGTGGGGAAGGAAGAGAGGACGAAGGGGTGTCCAGGTGCAGGTGGGGGCGACGGCGATTGCCAATCGATTTGTCGTGTTTACGTGACCCCACAACGGAGCCGTGCAAATCAATTGGGACGCTTTTGGACACATGGCGATTGCATTTGGGGCGCGTGTTTTGTGGTTCCGCGTTATGCCCCTGATTGCATTGGTCAGGGTGGTCTAGAAACCAGAGTCCAGACTTCCTCGTAACCCCCTAAATTTACTAAACCCAATAACTTACCCAGCAGCTTGGATACAGCTCCTTGTTGGGATAGCATATGCTGGGCCAGATCATATCCCCTTAGTCCGAAGCGGGACAGCTCCAGTAGTCGATGCTGGGAGGCCAGGGCGTTGAGATTTGTGGCCGCCGCCGCTGCCGCCGCCCCCGCAGCTCCTGGTCCTCCCGCTGGTGCACTGCCTCCGCAGAAGAGGCCGCCCATCGCCGGAGCTGGGGGCGTCACCTGGGTCAGGATGGGCGTGGAGGGACTCAAGCTGTGTGGCTGGGCAAGAACTGAAATGGGAGAGTACAAAATCATTAGTACACTGAGAATAATTAATAGAATTTAACACTAGAAAATAAAATATATATGAAACACCGTAGTTTTTAAACAGATTTAACTATAAATTCAGCTTAAAATATTAAAGTTAGGAAAAATACACTAGTTTACAGCCGAAATGCTCCCCAGCAATTGATGGCAAATTCTGTTAGTTTTGGACCCCTAGATCACGAAAATAGCACTAATTTTTTTCGATGGCACAGTTTTTTTTAAATATTTTTAAAGTTTAAAATGTTAAATTTCGGACTTTTTTCGAATTTCTTCTTATATCTCGGCAGATATCCACTTGGTTGAACCAGTTTTAGTTTTATTTTAAAGTCAATAGATCAGAGTTAACTTTGCTATACAGATTAATATGATTGGATGAGTAATGGCAGCGCAGAGGCTTGACAAAGATGAAAAATGTGTTTTTTGGTCGTCTGTAAGTCGGCTGTATATATCGTAAAAACTCGAAATAAATCCGTTGAAAAATCATAATGGGTACAAGCTTAAAGTTTACATCCTACCGAAAGAAAAACGTATGGCCCAAATCCATGGAAAACTGGATTTATGGTGGATTTTTAAAGTTTGGTTTTTTTCTTTTTTTTTGTGTAGAAGAGTCCAAATTTAAGATTTATCATAGGCGGCGACATGTAAACAAAAATAATTGGTGTTGGCAGCCGGGTCACTAAATAGCTAAATCAGATATTTAAAAGCTAGAAAATTATTAAAGTGAATTTAATTTTTGAAATTAAGGTTACTTTTTTCATAAGAATGAACTATCCAAATGGATAGTACTTAATTAAAAATACTCACAGTCATAACGCAAGCAATTTTATATTTTTTAAAGGAATTTTCAGAAATTAAATTTATTTTATAATTTTCTAGCTTTTAAATTTAGCTATTTTTTGATCCGGCTGCCGTCACCACTCATTTTTGTTTACATGACGCCGCCTATGATAAATCTTAAATTTGGATTCTTAACAAAAATGGACTCAAAAAAAAAAATCCGAACTTTAAAAATCCACCATAAATCCAGTTTTCCATGGATTTGGGCCATATCCAGCTTGTTCTATTCGGTAGGATGTACACTTTAAGTTTGTACCCATTATGATTTTTCAACGGATTTATTTTGAGTTTTTAAAAATATATACAGCCGACTTACAGACGACCAAAAATTTTATCTTTGTCAAGCCTCTGCGCTGCCATTACTCATCCAATCATATTAATCTGTATAGCAAAGTTAAGCTCTGATCTATTGACTTTAAAATAAAACTAAAACTGGTTCAACAAAGGGGAAAACCCCCGAAAAAAAAAAAAAAATTCGAAAAAAGTCCGAAATTTAACATTTCGAACTTTAAAAAATCTTTAAAAAAAATGTGCCATCGAAAAAAAATAATTGCTATATTTGTGATCTAGGGGTCCAACACTAACAGAATTTGCCATCAATTGCTGGGGAGCACACCAAGAATATTATTTTGTAAACTAGTGATATTTGTCAAAAACTTATTAGCTTTGTTTTTATAAAAGCTTATAAGACTTAATCAAAATGTAATATTATTTTTTTAGAAATGAAAGCAATTTATCCACCACGAATTACATTTTACCAATTATGATCGGCTTAGTATGTTCAGTGATTTTTATTTTTTTTAAATTATAAGATTTTATAAAATCCTTTTTGTTTAACCATACCCAAAAATATTAGAAAAGAGTCTATTGAATACATTCATATTTACTATATAAAAATAACAATTTTAAATTACCCCTGTAAAATATATTTTAACCATAAGCCTTGTAAGATACCCAAAAATATTAGAAAAGAGTCTATTGAATATATTCATATTTTCTGTATAAAAATAACAATTTTAAATTACCCTTGTAAAATATATTTTCTTAAGTGTAGGGGCGCAAAATCATTAAACGTCAATTGGAATTTAAACGAAGCTGTTGCCGGCATTCCGCGCGTGACACAGAAACACCAAGAAATTTGTAGCCCGATCATCGACTGTGGGCCTCGAGGATTTGGGGGGAACTGGGACAACGAGATGGCTGGACAAATTTCGGTGTGTTTTTGATCGACGACGTCAAAGTCAGAGAGTCGAAGCCTGAGATGGATGGGGGGGCTCCTCCGTCCAGTGGCGGAAGTGTCAACGTTTATGGGCATAATGGACGCGGTGTGGTCCATTACCGCTGACACTGACTGCTGATTCCAGTCGGAATTTATGAAATTCTCGCTGGCAATTTGTTGGACCTGGATCTTTGGATCTCTGGATCGGAATCAGAATCGGAATGAGAATGGGACGGCAGATCGCTTGTCAGAGTCTTGGCAGCAATTGGCCATTCCTCGGATGTAGAAGCTTTTATGTTCATTTTGACATTTTATCTGATCGCGAGAACTGCACACATTTTAACACCTCTTTTTTGGTGCGATCGAGCTCCGTGTGTGGCGACGGCATGTCGATCGGGGGTCGGGAGTCGGGAATGGAGAATCGGGTGGCGGAGTCTCCTTTAGTTTCTTGGCTAATTAAACCCGATGCAGATGGGACCAGTCGGGCTTACTCCATTTAAAAGTGGCCGCGGCAATTTGTTGCACTCGCATGTTGCGCCAATTGTTGTGGCCGTGGTTATGGCCATGCTTGATTTATGCCGCCGCAACAGCCGACCAACTTGGATGTCAACAGCACTGAGTGCCTCCGGATTGCCATTTCCATTGCCCCAGTCCCAGTCCCAGTCTCAGACCCAGTTGCAGTCCAGATTCTATGGTAAAGTCGGTTCGGGATCGACCGATGATTTACTACGCAATGCGACAGCTCCGACTCCGCGATGCGCCTCAGTCAATTGCAAAAGCGGCTTAAAATCGCTGGAACCACGGCCCAAACCCGAACCCTTCGGCCTGCCCCTCAATCCTCTACACAGAAAACAAATATCACAGATTTTGATTTTTAGTATCTGTAATATTTTCGCACTTAAATGAAGGAACTTTAGAGAAATCAAAAAAATATGTTAGAAAATTGTTATAAGCTTGAGGCGTATGTAGATTTGAAAAAAGACGGAACAACCTTTCTACTTTTTTTCGCAAATACAAAACAAGTCGCTAGTAAAGTCAAATTTTTATTAAAAAATATAATAATCAGTTATTATAATATCCAATTGTATTTAAATCTTTGTATAAGACTTTACAATTTAAATTTATATTTTTTAAAATGGAAAATTGTTGGAAATATTATAAATATATTTTTTTCTCCCTCTGTACCCGATCGTATGTCACCGTGAGACTTATAACAAGAGGCGATGCCGATCGGACTCGGGCTGAAGCTCGAACTCGGGATCGCAGCTCGCCACAAGTGATGATCGCCTCGGAATTCAATTGATAGTTTGATTTATTGCTACCGGTAACTTTTTGCCGCTGCATCCCCTTGGCCCCCTCTTTGCGCCCCTCTCCCAGGCACTGCATATAAATTAAAGTTGCTCGCTTTTTATGCGACTCCTCAACGCATCCTCATCCCGAGACCTATCCCCCCATCCTCGTCTTTAACCACATCCCCAGCCCCTTCAGTTAGTGCTCGCTGATCTTGTTTGTCGCGCGCAGCGCATTACTCGTCCTCTAAAGCTTCTGGTTTTTACTGCCAGTGCGCATTACTGCGATCTTCGCACATTTTCCTAAGCTCCAAGAATTCCGCTGCGGGGAGATGTGCTCTTACATAAGTCACTCTAATTTTATGCCATCCTTTATTGGATTTTATTGTACGGTTCCGGATTATACATAGTTTGCTATTAAAGTGTGGCTAACCAGCGGAGTATAAATATGCAAATTGAAATAAATAAATTGAATAAGCTTAAAACAAATCCAGTTGGGATTTAAATGTTTAGATATTTTCAAATTATATTTGAATATCAGAAAGTTGTTAAATTTATATTTTAAAATTCTTGCCTTTTTAAAATAAAATAGGTTTTAAAATATTTAATGTAATCTTTAGATTGGATTTTTACCTAACATGGGATACAATCTTATACCCTTTAAAGAACAACAAAATGGAATATGTACAAAAGTGTATTTTATATGCCTTGCAGTTGAAGAATAACTTTATGGATACCTAAATTGTTAATGGCTTTAAACTTTAAAATTATGATTTAAATAAAGTTATTTACTATTTATAAAATCATAAATCTTCATAGCCTTCTAAAACACTTGGGTAATCATTTACAGAGGCGACACACTTAGGTCGGCAATAATAACACTGTTTCCTTTTTCGACTCTTTAAGAAAGCCTAAAGAGTTGTGAAATGATAACCCGGGTTCCTTAGGCGGCAGAACCACCAACTGGGGTGACACACATATGCATATACGTAACGCAAGGCAAAAGTAACGTAAGGAGTTCGGACCATGTGCATTTTGGAATCAAGCCATACCATACCATACTAAACCGAGCCGGGGCACTCTTCAAAATCATTGTGCACACCTTTTATACGCTTGGCTTTCTAAGAATAATGCGAATACACGCACCACGTAACCTGAGACCCCTAAGTATGGTTTCTGCCCTATGCTTAAACTTCAATGTATGCCATGTACCCCTGTTGTCCCTCGAACCCCCGAATCCCCCTTTTGGCCACCGCTTTGGGGTCTCCGTGTCTCTTTTCCAGCGTTTCTCGTCTCGCTCTCTACTTCGCCGACTGGGGCTCTTTTTATAATTATTTATTTATTGTGCAACTTCCAACACCTTCGAAGAGACAAGTCAAAGCTTTGCCCTCCCCATCGCCCCAGAGTCCCCTATTTTCCATCCGGGACCCAGTGTGTATCTTGCAGATACACTCGATGGCCGCCGACGTGAACTAATTTTATTTGACAACCCATACTTGTGCAAAACAAATTGCCACTGATGTGCGAAAGACCAAAACAGTTGCCACAGTTGTGTGCTGTGCGATTTGTGCTGTGTGTTGCTGCTGCTGCTGCTGCATTGCTGTTGCTGTTGCTGTTGTGAAATTTCCAAATCATTGCACTTCTCCAGCAGGCATTTGACTAGTGCCACCAGTTTCTTGTGGCTGGCTTTTGTTTTAAACTGTTTCGGGCCCCCGATTCAGATATCCCTGTCAGTTCACGGAATTCGCCCGAATCTTGCGGCTCGAATGGAGCGTGCAGCAATACAGCAACGCTACAAAGGCAACACCAATAACACAGGCGATATCAGCGGGTATCGCTAAAAACATCGCCGGTTTTTGGAGCAGCATTAGTAGCAAGAGCAATAGCTAAATCAGCGGATTCGGTAGCTGTAATAGCCTAAATTGTAGCTTTAGCATAAATCGAACTAAACTAGTTTTGGGATAGTTTAACAACAATATATCAATTTTAAAATATAAGATTTTAGAAATAATGTGTTCGTAATAATATCCAGTATCAACTTGATATCAATCGAAATAAGCAACTTTTAATAAATCCTCAGTTTATTTGGTATTGAAAATCCGATAAATTCATTTGTTGATAGGATTGATTGGTGGTTTGATCTTGCCTTATCTTAGCCCAAATAGCAATAAATAGCAATAAATTATTTTGATTTAATAAAAAAAAAGGAAAATTGTGTTAATTATTACAAAAACTAAATTATTTCAATCAAGCTGAGAATATTCGGTTAATCAGCCCATAAAAACAAAAAGTGTGTTACTTAAATCAAAAAAACATTTTTAGAAAAAGAAATTAAAGTTAAATTAAAATCAGCTTTAATCAAGTTTATATCAAGTTGACGATGATCCATTTATTCTCCCAACGAAATTAATAGAATAATATTTAAAAATTAAATATTGAATTTGTAAAAAATCTAAATTTTTAATAACAAATAAATTTTGTTTTAAACAACTTTTAAACTTTGAAACTCTCACCTGTGGCCGCTGCCGTGGGGGAAACGGGCGTGATTGCCGACGGCTGGCCGACGCCTCCGGCGGGACTGCCCAAAAGTTGCAGATGCGACGGCAATGGCACGGCGGCCATGGGCATGATTGCTCCGGGGGATTCGCCGCTCCCTGAAATCCCGGATGTTGCTGCTAGTGGTATGGAAACTTTATTGGTTGTCCTTGTGGGGCCGGGTGACGTGGTGGTTGCCATGCCACGTTTCCAAATTGTGAGACCAGCGAAACGGGAGGAGGATTCAATTTGGGGACTTTTAGTGAAAGGGCTTCATTTTTGTGGGGCCCTGTTTTTCCGACGGTTCTTTTTTTCGGGCTACTCTATGCTTTTTTCGCCGTTTCAGACGCCACTCGAAAACGCGAACCGGAACCGCTCGCTTGTGTTGCTGCCGTTGGTGTTGCTAGTTGCTAGTTGGTGGTGTTGCCGCTGTTGCTGCTGCTGCTGTCGCCGTGTTGTTGCTGCTGCTCAACGCTCGCTGACTCGACGCGCACCGCACTTCGCACTCAAACTCAACGCCCGCCGACTCGCTGAATGAGACTGAGCTCAGAGCCACCGGCAGCGCAATATCTTACTTGGCTAAAACTCGGATCGGATCGGGTTGCCTTTGCTGTTGCTGTTGCTGCATTCTGGTTTGCCTGTGGTTGTGGTCGGTTTGCCACTGAGCATTCAGGGGTTTTTTTTATTTTCCTGCCTCTGCGAGTGTGTGTACGTTTGAGCGTCGCCCCATTGAGCGTATTCACTGTGGAAATGAGAGGGAAAAAAAAAAAAAAAAAAGTGTATAAAGCCAACGAAACCCAAACCAAAACCGAAACAGTTGTAAAAGTTCAATAATTAATTACTCGGGCATTCGATTTCAGTGCATTGTTTATCAAACTTTCAGGCTAGACCTGTGCTACCAGTTGCTTTCGGCCTTTTAATTGACGACCGATTTTGTTTGGTAATACATACGTGGTGTTTGCGAGTTCAAAAAGTTTTTTTATGGATATGCCGACACCAAGAAATGGCTGTCAATCATCGATCAGCGAAGTAAACACTGAAAAGTAAAGCTGGCTGTTCAACTAAGGTTTAATTATTTTACAGAAAATGATTTTGAATGTTATAGAATACATTGTGTTGTTTAGACCAGAATAAAAATAATTAGGATATTAATATTAACAGTCAAAATACAATTTTATTGTCTACATTATCTTAATAACATAAAAATTATAAATAAATACATTTGTTCACGAAACTGCTGATAAATGTGTATTAATATTAAATTGGTTTTCATGTATTTTAGTTGGGTGTCAGATTTTATCTACCTTTATTTATTTATTGTCTTCATTAAAATTCTAAAGTTCTAAATAAATTGTATAACTTTAAACAGAATATTTTCGTACGCCACAAGCACTATGTATTATTTGGTATAATTTACTGTTTGTATGCAAGAAAACAAATAATACAAATTTATATAAACATTAACTTAAGGTTATTATAAAGTAAATAACCAATTTTGTAACATAAAATGACAATTTTTTAATCATTTGAATTACACAAAAGTTGATAAATTAGTTAAAATTAATTTTTAAGATATGTAATTTTTCTGCGTGATCGCAGTTACAGCTCCTTAGCTCTCGTGGCCCCAACTCTTTTTGAAAACGGGGACGTGCAAAAAACGCATTACGCGGGACATCGGCGGACATAAGTGACTCGGCCGGACGAGAAACCAATGAATCCGCGTTGGACGCGACTCCACTCGTTTTGGCCAACCACTGTCTTGGTTACGTGGTAAGTCAGGTGGGGGGAAGGGGGTGGTAAGGAGGTGGTAAGCAGCGGCGTAACCGATTAGCGCCACTCAACAGAGAGAGAAAGAGAGAGCGAGAGAAACCTGCGCAGCAAAAGGATGCGAGAGCGAGAGAGAGGCAATGCAACTGCAGTGGAGTGACAGGAGCGGCACGAGGAGAAGATGGGTCGGCTAATTGATTTATTTCGCCCACTGTTCCCCTCTCACTCCCACTGGTTCGCTGGTTGGTTGGCTGAATTACAGAAATCAGGAGCCGTGTAATAATGGCCGCCGAACTGCACTTGTATGCGAGTGTGTCTCTTCATTTGGCCCTTAAACTTTAAATGACTTTTGCATTTTTGCATAAACGGAGGTGTTGTTTTTGCAACTCCCCATCGCTGCCTCTCTTTTTCCACCCATTGCCTTTGCCAAGGGGGTGTGACAGAGAGGCGGCGAACGGCCAACCTCCCTCCCACACTGATAATGCAAAATAATCAATTTTAATGGCCTATAATTTGCCAGCGCAAAATAACAATAATTCCGCAAATTGAAAGGCACAACTTTGGCCATTCAAAATGCCAATACACGCACATAGAACTTTTCGAAACAGTCGCATTAATTTATTTATGTTGATAAAAGACTAGGCAAAAGTTGCTTCCACTAAAAAATATTTATATGTCGGTAGAGAGAGGGAGAAAGAGAGGGTGGGGTGGGGGATGTGTAAAAGAGAGGGCAAACACAAGCTCGTTGAGTTCGGCTCACCTTACATAATTTGAGCCAAACTCAAACTGGCTATCAAATTGAGTGAGAGCAAGTGAGAGGCGTGTCTAAAGAGCAGGCTCGCAGTTGCGCACTGGCCTCTATAGCTGTCCCTCTTGCTCTCCTCTGAACCCCAAGCAAATGGGTAGCCCAATGGCAGAAGGCCAAGAAAACTCAAAGAAAACCAAAGGGGGAAGGGGGTTTTTTAGTGGGGATCGGATGTTAGGCAGCGGAATTAACTCGCCTTGCCTAACCCCTCTGCTAGCCCCCTCCTGATTGATTTCGGCCCGTATGATTGATTAGATTAATAACGCGGCTAATTAAACATTTATCACTGTATCTCACAAACCGCCCGAAGGGGCTCAAATTAACCCTCCCAAAGTAGCACAAATTATGCCTGCTACTACAGGCCAACTTCTATAACTGGAACGTTTGATATTTATTTCCATTTAAAACGGAATACCCAATTATTATAATTTAAAGTGTTATTCAATTGCAAATAGAATTAATTTAATTTCCTAACTATCCCACCTCCTTTTATTATGAGTAATGTTTTTTCCAAAATTATGTTAACCTACGATTATAATTTTTGTCTTAATGTTTTTGTAACTATTATTTAAAGTAAAATTTTCAAAATTTTTTATAATTTAAAGGAGCAAACAAGCAGGTTTTCCTTACACTAATAACATTTTTTGAATTCCTCTTATAAATAAAGTTGAATTTATAAAACAGATGTCAATTCAATTTAGGGATGTTCGACTGTGTGCCTGCTTCTAATTGCGTCTCGTGCAACTTTTTTTTGGGGATGGGCGCATTAATTATGGCCGCCTTGGCTAACGCCTGCCGGCCGCCATTATTTCGGTAGCAAAGTGGCCAAGTTCCAGCCAGATAGCCATCTAGTATCTACATCCCAGCCCAAACTTACCCGAACTTAGAGCCAAGCCCTGTGTGCCGTGCATATTTGTGGTAGCCACGCTTCCTGTTTTTGTTTGCTCGCCTGTCCGTTGTCCGCTGTCCGCTTGTCCGGCTGAAAATATTCCAAACAATGTAGACAAGAAGTGCTCAGGCCGGGCGGAGTTTTTGTGCCCGTGGTTAGCGACGCGGTGGTGTTTACCCACATGTAGGCATATGCATATGCTGATTTCCACCGGACGGGTTAGGGGGTTCTACTTTTTTGGGGCGGAGCGGGGGCTGGGGGGCATGGGTGTGGGTCGTCGAGTTGGTGAACCGTGAAAAAACCCTGGGGTAGAATTCTACTCCGGACCAACGGAGAATCGGAATTTCGTAATGTTAACAAACAAATAGAAAATAACTTTTAGGCCAGCGTCGTACCTTCCCTATGGAGAAAAACCAGCGGCCACCTTTCGCCAGAGAGTCTTTACACAGAGGAAAAATCATCACTAAGAAATTATACTAAAATCAAAATGTTTTAAAGATTTACGATTGCTTTCTCGACTTCATGTTAAATTTAAAATTCGCTTTAAGCTCTAGATTTCTAGAAGATGTCTTTAAATCACTAAAACTGATGAGAAAATGGACTTCTCAGTAAAAACTTCCACCGTTTGCAACAATAATTAAACAGCTTACCAATTATTTTATTCTTGTAAAGCCTTTTTAAAGATTTACCTTCAGAGCCCAAAAAAGGTGGAAACTTAGCGAGTTAAGTTAGATTCAGACTTCTAAAGTTATAATTTTCCATTTAAAATTCTCAATTTATGATTAATTGAGTTAAGTAAGATCTGGGCTTTTAAAGTTAAATATTTATTTTTAAAATTCCCAACATAAACATTTTTTTTCAGCGTAAGACCTTCTTTCCAGAGACTAGAGTCAGCGGAAATATGCTCAAGTTTCTGTTTTTGTTGGTCGGAAATGTTTAGCGCTTGCTCAGAATGATTAAAGTGTCGCTTTTTGTCTGGCTCCAGTTGCCTCTTCCCATTTGCATACAAATGTTCCTCAAAATTTGCTGACTAATGCGAAAGCGAACAAATCTACGTACTCTATTGTAGGTTAAATTGCAAAGACTTCCTGATTCTTCTCAAAAGTAGATGTAACCGCGAAATTGATTTGGAAAAGCCATTAATTCCAACATTCTAACGCTGTTTTCTGGAGGTTCAAAGCTTAATTCTAGGAAAGATAGGGCATTATTTCCAGTAACTATTCCGTATATATTTTTAAAAAATCTCATTTAAATTTTTTTATAAGTTGTAATAATAATTGTAAATTTTCAAATAAAATTAATAAATCCTATTTTGCAGCGATTCTAGAATGAATTTTTTTTATATTACCCTATCAATTTAAAACATATAGTAAGGCACAAGAAAAATACACTTTTATTGAATATCTAAGCAATATGGAAATTGATGAATAATATTGTAATATTTCTCTCTTTACTTTACGAAGTGAGTTTTTACTGCTGCCCGGATCGGTAGAATGAAATTGCTAATTTATTAAACCGCGATTTGAGACCCCCATTTGTTTATGTTTGTCGTTTGGTACTGTAACGTTATAATCCCTTAATCCATTTCTCGGGTCCGTCACTCAAATTTAGATACTGAAATTGGCGGGCGACTGAGTCATGTGCCTCAATATCACGGCGAGCACGCACCACTCGGCCGGCGGAATGTAATGATTAACTTTTCGCAGTTGCTAAATTAAGTGAGTTTTTACTGCTGCCCGGATCGGGATGAGGCTATGGCTATGAGGTGTGGGGAGTGCAGATTGTCGCAGTGCCGGGGCTCCTGCATCATCGACATGAGTAAATTTGCAGTTGGCCAGCTGAAAAGGAGCGGGAAAAGGGGCTTCGGGGGCATCGCATTGCGTGTCTGCGACTGGGGCCAGAAATGATTTCCACATACCACAGCAGTTAAAGCCCTTAAGTCAGGGAGAAAATCCAATTAAATTCGGTAGCGAAAGAAATAAGTCTGAACTGTCGGCAAAATGATTCTACATACACGTATTTGCGTCAACATTGATTTTGCAGAAACAGAAACATCCAAACAGGGATTCGATACACTCG